ATAAAACTGAAATTTAAAAAATATGTATTTTATAAAAGGTTCAAAAAGTCCACCATTTTCAGCTGAGCAATATCCCAACATATCATAAAATACTTGTCGAACTTTGGGCAGTGTTTCAGCAGTAACATTGCTAATAGCATTTGTAATTTTATTACGAAGTTCCTCTAAATTATTTGCACGATCGTGACGTAACCCTAAAGAAAAAAATCATTTGGTGCTAGATCCGGGGATCTAGGTGGCCATTTGATTGTTGTCTTTTCACTTATTATATGATTAGGAAACGTGGCGTTCGGAGAATCCTGAACTCTCCTAGCATTATGTTTGTACCAAATTTCACGAAGTGCTGGAATTATTTGATGACGCAAAAGATCCAAATATTTGTTTGTATTTAAATTCCCGTCAATAAAAAAAGGATCAATGCCATGGTCTCTTAAAATATCAGCCCATACTTTGGCCTTTTCCGGATACTGAGTCCTCAAAGGAATTGTTGTTCTCTTATGAACACTCAGCGACTGCCGGATTATGACGACCATGTAAGGAAAATGAATAAAATATTCAGTAAAAAATCTTAATTTTGGTTAGCTCGTCAATCATTTTTTCACAGAATACCATGCATTTCTCGTGATCTGCTGGTAAAATTTCCTGCGTAGTTTGTAATTTATAACACTTGTACCCATTTCACTTTACATTTGCTACAGCACAAACTTAATTTTCTACAATTAAGTAAGTAAATTATTCGTAAAATTGTGCACATTGTCTATTTCGGCCTATTTTCAAGCAAAAATGCGAATCAGACAATGGGCGAACTACCCGAGAAATACTGCTTAATAATTTGAACCTTCTCTTCGGTCGAATATACTCCCATTTTTAAAAAAAAACCGGTTATTTTTTCTACGTAAGTTTAATTAGGATAAACGCAATTGCGACTGTACAAAATTTTGGCGACGAGTGAAAATATTAGGCAAGAAAATCTAATCAACACGGAACACGTGACAAACCTGCGAGCGTACAGTTTGAAACGAACCTGCCCGACGAAAGGGAAAAGGAAGGAAAGGTAATCGACTATCCGAGGTATATTTTTGGAATTGTCACTAGTGCGGAGTTCTATTCCTGTCGCCATAATCGCTGAAGGAATTATCGGATGGTTATTCGTGTTTGGACGACAACGGCTGCCGCGGCCTCTGCTTCGTTGAAAAACGCAAATCCGATTTAAATTCATCGACATTTTCGATTTGCTAAATAGCGAGACGTGAACTTGATGCTGCGATATACACGCTACCACAAAATATCTAAAAAAAATCTACAATTTAAAAAAAAAAAATTAATTTGTATGCAAGACGAAGTAAGCATACATTTTTGACTTAAACAAACGAACAAAAGAAAAAATAATAAAACAAAAGAAAAGAAATCACAAATATATAATTAAGGCATCGTTTCCATTTTAACCTGATGCAGATATGTCGGGCTGAGACAATGTTGCCAGTGCCGAGTAACAGCAGAGCTTTTTTACCGTACCATATTTTTATGTATTCAAAATCATAGGTAAATTGGAATACATCACCCCTACAATAACAAACAGATTTCGTTAGTTTTGGTGACCTTTTACCGATATGGTTTATTAAGTTTTTAACCTCGATTTTTTTGTGTATTTGTGCTTAGTGTATGGTAAATTTCCAAAGAACGCTCAAATGCATCGGATGTGGTTCGCATAATTATTTACGATATAATTATTAAATTTTTAATATTGTTACATTATCAACTCAAATGCCAATGATTCGTTGCCCCTCTCAGTCTTCGGGAAAGATGACGATTACGTTAGCAATGATTCCAAGTGTACCTATTGTTATGGCATTTGCCGGTGTCATCATTATGACGTAGTCGTCATCTTTCCTGATTTCGATAATAGTTGCCTATACTCCTTAAAAAGTTTAGCTTGGTTTGTACAGCAAATTTTTATATGGAAATCCAAAATTATTCTTAGAGATTTCCGTTTGATTTCCTATATGTTACCATATGTTTCCCAATATTTCATGAAAATTCCCGATATTTCGTCGGTGATATTAGACAGTAAGTGTTTCCTAGGTGGTTTCCGTGTACCACTGAAGACAAAATATTAGTAAAAGTGAAAACTGATCCCTTAACGATAACTCGAAAAGCACAGGGATTGCCAACAAAGGGGTCGATACCATGTGTATTAAACAATCTGATCATTCTGTTGCAAGAACTGGAGATCCTATATTTGCAACCGAGCTAGCGACGTTTAAATGGAATGTAAAACAAAGAAAAATGCCGAGTTCTAATAGTATGAAGGTAAGTAACCCTATTTTAGGAAACTAAGTTTTTTCAGTGAGGCTAAAATATTATGTTTCTATGAACTTTTCACAAACATAAACAGTTTTCGCAATATCGACATAATAAACACGCGTAAAGACATTAATTGGTGTTATCAATCAATAACGGTTTTTTATAAGCAAATTATCGTGCTTGTTGATATTTTATTTTACATAAACATAAATCTAGACCATAAAAATATTGTTTTTGGCTTTCGTAAAAGTACGCTTAATCCAGGAGTAGGATTCCGATGCACCCTACCATTAAGATAATTTTTTTAATTTGTTAAGCATTAAGGCAATGATACTATAATACTATCATAAAATACAAAATACTGACACTGACACCATCTCGACGATCTTCTAAAAAAGTTTTCTTTCTAAAAGAGGACGTCCTATACATGCATTTTTCATGCGTAGTCAGAGCGACCCACGAGGGATGTTTTTTAACCACTCAAACGCTAGCAGATGCGAATTTAAATTTACGACCATTTAAAAAACACTGTTGTCAAGCAGTATCCTGGAGTGAATATTTGAAACTACATTCTTTATCGTTAAAAAAAAGAACCATTGTCCTTAATGAACTAAATTGACTTTAGATTCCGAGTATTCGTTTAAAGAATAACATTACGTATGAGTAATTATCATAAAAGAACGACCTTAATCTGGCAATATATAACTCGATTTGTAATTTTACATTTACTATCTTTTTTAAATAGGTGTAAATACGTTACATTATATCGGATTAGATTCGAGTTTTGCTCAATCTTTTACAATAACATTACGGATTAGATTCGAGTTTTGCTCAATCTTTTACAATAACATAAATTTTTATCACCAAAGAATAACATGCAGTTTCAGATTTTCCGACATTATTTGACTAAAACCAATTTAAACATCGTTCGTTTTGAATATAAATTGCAATTTTCGCATTCTTAACACCAGATATAGCAAAAAAAAAATTAATGAGTGAAGAATGTTGTTTTGTTGTTGCTGCATAGGGTGGGTCCTATCCAAAAACTTTGTTATTATGACGACGGACACTTATTATACGCCTACATACTTACTTGAATAATAAAAAGGGACATATCGGCCTTAAATTATAAAAGCAAACTAACCGGCTTGGCCGCTGAAGGGTCAGGTTAGGATAGACGTCACGATTCGAAACGAAAGCATCATAGAATTAATACATTAATAAGGAAATAAAAAATAATAAACTTTAAACACGCAATTAATGTAAATATTAACTGTAATAATAACCACTTTAAGTAGCACTTGGATAGCAAGATGTGCATGTTTTTCCTTTTTTTTTCCAACAGACTCCAATATGACAAAATAAAGAAAAAAATAACGGTACATAACAAAACATAACCGATATATAAATTACAGGTTTTATGCCTGCTCAATCTTCGAATATTTAAATACAATATGGCTAATCCTATTTTGTATAAAATATACCTCTGGATAGTCAATTTTTTCTTGAAACTGTCGAGCCACCTTTGTATACAGTGAAACTTCACAACTTTTCCACCTGATAACTGCAAAACATTAATGTCAGAAGCTGTAAATATTTCCAGTTTCCATACATATTACCGCAGTCACATGGAAAAAATTGCTTTTGCAGTGATGCAATATTTAGACAAGGGACAAGTAGAGTGAGGAGTGTTGCCTAAATTAATATGAATAATGGCTATGGCAAGCACGTAAGGTGGGCGAAAATAACACCTGAGAGGGGCAACGATTCATTGGGGCATGTGCACAAATACACAAACCAAGAAAATAAGTACACCCGCCTATGAAACATGTCTTCGATATGTTTATATCGAGGTTTACATACACCTGAACCGACACTTCGAAGTTCAAACCGCCAAATTCTTTGCCAACAGTATTGTCGCATGTCTGCCGTCAGTCTTTGTAATAGCAATATCCAAAACCACCTTGTACCAACATTAGCGTCAGCGTTTTTTTCATTTTAATGTTGTCACATTTCTTAGAAACCATATTGCTATTGTTAAAAAAGAAACTATTCGTTATTTTATGGGCAACGTTTAAGGAAATATTTGCCAGGTATTTTGTCAGGGTCTATTAATTTACATACATAAAAATTTTATTTAAAAATGTTACTAATATATATATTATATATATTTTCGTTGAAATTTACTGCAACATCGAATATTGGCGGCGAGTGACAGTTTATCAACCGATTATTACCTAAACTGGGGAATTATCGTGTATTAATTAATTTAGCGAAAATAGATCGTATGGACGTTTTTATTGTTATGAATGCTACCGTAGTTATCATTATTTGTTCCTACCTACGCAAGGGCATACAACAAATATCCGGAAACGGTAAAATAAATTCGTAGAAAGTAAAAAGTTTTATGGTCGTTTCCTACTTAAAGGTAAAAGAACACAACCTACAAAAACGTTCACAGTCAACCTTTTCCGCTCTAATCTCTCCATCGAAATAATCAAATTATCTTTAATCAGTACCAAAAATAAACAAAACACGTAAAAGGGCAAGAATTCCTTTGTAAAAGTTTAAGCGAAAAGACGTGAAAGTTGTTACGCGCCGACAACCGGACCGTTCCACATTCATATTTCCCCTTTAAAAAACACTTTCCGTTTTCGACCGTCACTTAAACTACTACCGAAACTACGTGTACTTACCGGCCAAGGTGAATCTATCCATGTAATTGATGAGATTTACGTAACACAACACGGAAACCGAGACCCATTCTTTCCATGAAACTTCCCGCAAAGTCCTCTCGTTTTGCTCGATTTCGTCACCGTCGCGCACCAAATCTGAATGAGAATTATTTTGTTCCATGATGTTGAGCTTTTTGAGCACGATTTTCGAACCCTTCTCTAGTTTCTCGGACGGCATGTCGGCACTAAGCTGGCGCGCACGCTGAAATCACCCGAATGAAGCCGGTTTGAAATTCCTTCCATGTTGGCGCTCGGACTAGCGCGCATGCGCGTGAAAATCACCTGATGATACGGTTTTTTTCACCTGTTTTTTTTTGTGATAATTCAGATGTGTCCTCGGGGTATCGTTCCGATCGAGACGAACACTATCGGAAGGCACTCGAAAGGCGCGATGTGCAAATTTTTACGCGAAACGTTCACACTTGCGTTACGACAAATGCACAATGAACTTCGAAAGTCAGCTGTCAATTTCACCACCAACGATTGCAACGTCAACAGAGTTCCAACTCGCCGACTCGAACCGCCGCGATCAGAATTACGGGACACACGCAAGATTTAAAACGTTCGATCACTCCATCGGCTTTGTGCCAGATACCCGATATTATTTGTTAAATGACAATGTGTTTTCTTAATCTTGTATATGTGGTCGTATAGTACATTCAAACAAAAATGGCTTTGTGCCAGATACCCGATATTATTTGTTAAATGACAACGTGTTTTCTTAACCTTGTATATGTGGTCGTATAGTTCATTCAAACGAAAATGGCGCCGCCTAGTGAATTTTAAAAAGGTGGAGCATTTCATGTGGTGCATAGATTCGATCAAAGATGGCAACATGGTGACGAATACTGCGAGGATCTTCTTTCTTTACTTCAATGGCCACAAGTAGGTTACTTGATCCTCCTCTTTTCTTCTTTTTGGGGCATGTTCGGTGGTCCGTGGTTCTTTTCTTCTTTAAGGAGTAAGTGCAGGTGGCGGACGTTTGCCTCTGAATTTTTAGTAGCATATCCGTTCCTATTCTATTCTATGAATTGAGCTCCTAGTACTGTTAATGGTGCGCAGCTGGTTAGAAGATGAATTTCAGTTTCCTCTTCTTCAAAATACAGCCTGAATGTGCTCACATCGTCCACCCCCATGGCAGGGTCCTGCTAGGATTCTTACCTGCGTTCGTGGTAGCGCGCATATCCGTTAATTGAAGCATTTAGAGGCGCGATGCGTATAGTTTTTTGAATTAGTGCTTGTTTTATGCGGATGTCTATGTAGTTGTATTGTGTATTGGTCCGTTTCCGGATTTCTCATATTCATACTGGTAGCCAGGAATCAGATAGCCGTACCCGCTGGATGAATCGGTCATCTTATGACTAATTGTTTAGAAGGATGATGGATTCCCGTACCCTTTCTGAAGGTATCGTTTTAGGAATTTTCAAATTGTAGTTTCAATATGTGCAAACTGGCGGTTGACCTTTAGCAGTCCTGGCCATTAGAGGTAATTTTTTGCCATCCAACTGAATTCTAACATCGTTAACATAATTTTTAAAATTTTTCAAAAAGAACCTATAGTGATTGTGTCGTTTTCAAAATAATAGATTGACGAAGGAAGAAGGTACGATCTACAATGTAAGGACGCCACATTCTTTTACAACTTTTATTGGAACAGAATTAATTTATTACATAAACGTTTCCCAGCTCGAAAATGAATAGATACATATGTATAATAATAGTATAGAGTATAATGTTGAGACATACATAAGTGCATCACAGCTAGACTATCGTTTTTTTTGTTCTTTAAATAGTTACACGTAACATATACCGCTTTTTTTCATAATTATAGTTGAGTATTCGTCTATATCACCCCCGGTTGCCTTTCGCTTATCTAGCGACTACTTTTTCGCATTGTCCTAGAAGCTTAACATCCAGTTCTAAGGATATAAAGCTACACGAAAGATTTCGAAATATACGACAATATTCCTATTGACGATTTCAATAATATCTGAAAGTCCATTTGAAATGACCATTTTTGTAGTGAGTACGTTATTACAGGGTGTCCAGAAAAGGAGGCTTTGTCAAGTTTCGTTAAGTATTTGTCTGAGGTTTTTGTAGAAAAATATTTTAAAGTAAATCGGAGTAGGAAAAAACTGTAAAAAAAATTGTAAAGTCAAATTATACTTACAATTGAAGTAATTAAATTAAATAAAGAATTTTATTTAATTTTATAATACCTAATTATTAATACTTAATTAAATGAATTAATTAAGCGACTTTCTTAAGTATTGGACGCAGATTTTGTAGTGAAAAATATTTTTATAATGTATATTTATTAAATAATTTCAATTAATTTTATAGTGCTCAATTATGAATGAATAAATAATTACTTTAAAAAATTAAGTGACTTTGTTAAGTATTCTTCAAAAACTTTTTATGTAAATCCTAACAGAAAAAACGCTGAAAATTATTTTTAAAAAGGTAATATCAAATTTTGTTTGAAAAGAGGTTCAACGTTGGATTATAAAAATTTGGACGCTATTGTCCATCTAAATTGTTTCTCAGATAATATGAATACATATATTTTGTCCTGAAAACTTTACCACCCTGAATCTCAAAAATTAAAAAGTATAGACGTAGGTTAATTATAATTTTTCAATCTTTTTTCCATATAATCCAAATAGGTAGAATCGAATTTATAGAATAAACGTTCTAAATTACATATTTCTATATAAAATGTATACTTTAAAGGTTATAAAAAACAGCCTCAAAGCGGTTTCGAAGAAAACCACGGTCAGTGGGTATGTCAACTTGGACTGCCCCTTAGGAAGGTTTCCCGTTTTTGTGACCCCCTCTCGATTTCCTACCCTCACCGCCGTGGTGGTAATGGTTGTTGTTGGAGCCCTTCCGGTGGTACTGGTAAGTACCGGATCCGTTTTCCGTTATTGGCAAAGTGGGCAGGACGTTTTCGGATCCCGCGTTCTCCTGCATGCCGCCTTGATTCCGCCCATTGGATCTGTTTCCTGCGAGATAGATATATGGCGAATTGCCCGGCGCATTCCCCAATAATAAAAAGATCTCGGCCAAAAATAGTAAACCATCTTCATAAATACATTGTAATTGCAACTTATGTGTTTTTTTAAACAATATTTTATAAGAAGTTACCTAATATTTACCGAATGAAAAAGTTTTATGTAAGGAAATTTTCAACAATATATAAAATATAAAGAAAAAGTTACATCCAAAGGAAACCGGTAATCAAAGTTGTTAATGTTCCTAAAACGCTGTTTAATGGCCGTTTATAGTTCATGCGGGCTGATAGGCTTCATATATTTCGATATTATTACTAATTAAATGAAATTAAATATTAAATTGTTATATTTGTTGTTGTCATTGATTTACCCTGCCAAAAATTCTGCGAATGAAGCGGCGGAAACCACCCTCCCCGGTTGTAATGTTGGCCGTTGTTGCCGGATCTGTGCCTCCCGCTTCCACCCCTGTTGCCTTGAGGCCTCGGCGATTGATAGCTGCAAAAAATTCGTTTACTGTTATTTTAGTTTGATGTACATGGTAATTCACGGGACATAAGATCGTTTGGCACTACAGAAGTAACCGGTTAAATCCCTATTTAAAATATCAAAGATGCTGCTACTTTTTGAAAAAAGTGGCAACGCTACGAAACATCCGATCGGATGTTTTGCGAAAATGTACCCAAAAACTAACGTCGTAGAAAAAGTATCGCTCGTGTCAAATAAACTCATGAATCAAATTCCGTTTTTCTAATCCCGTCTGTAAAATACCTAATTACCCACCGATCTAGCGTGCGGGAAGCGCCACTTTACCACGTCGGTTTCGTTTCCCACCAATCCGAGCCACTTCGGGATTTTACCGCACAGATCTGGGAGCAATTGGATGTTTTCGGAGATATTTCCCACGCTTTGTCAATTCTGACGTTCATGTCAGTGAATGTATTCTTGTTGTTTGCGAAATTGTACCCGAAAACCCTGAGTAGGATCATTCGCCTGACGTTTCGCTAAAATATCACTTGGCATCTTCAGAGGCCGCGCGTCCATTTCACTCGTACGTGTCCGCACTTAAGTGTATATACGTATTTATATATATTTATTTTTATATATATATATATATATATATATATATATATATATATATATATATATATATATATATATATATATATATATATATATATATATATATATATATATATATATATATATATATATATATATATAAATACCCAACTGCAACCAAAGAAGCAAGACAACTTTTACTACCGTTTCCATCTTCATAGTTAGCGCATTTAGTCGACTTAGTGCTGTAAACCTAACGTGTAGACTTGAGATTAAAGCTAACTAAATTGGAACCTAATATAAAATATCTGTGCAGCAAGTCTCAAGTGCAAGGATGGCACTAAATTAATACGGAGAATCTGTATTAAAATTATTTTGAATTTTGTATTGTATGTTTTGAAATATTATTTCCTGTTCTTGATAGCAATTTCATAGCGATATCTTCCCAAATCCTATCGTTCATGTTTTATAAGTTGACAAATCAATTTGTTAATGTTAAAAACTATGTATGGGGAGCATAAAAATTGTAGAAATGTTGCGGTGGGGCCTGGCGCAAAGAAGGTTGGGAAACACTGGTCTGACATCCGTCTAACGTCGTGATCGTAAGGGACTAGGTCTATTGTTCTAGGTATCACTAACATGGTGTTAAAACTTAACTTATTATATTGGATTACTTTTAAATTGTAAAAATGTTGTAAACCTTCATAAATAAACAATAGTGCGGTCGTGTGTCAAAAAAATGCCAAAAATTGTACAGGAGATATGGATAATTTACCCGTTATCTCTGTTATGCTGCTGCTGTCCATGGTAGTGGACCTGTTGCTGCGGCGCGCTGGACCCGGCCTGCACGCCTCTGCGCATATCGGAATTCTCCCTGCGCAGCCTCCTAATCAGAACCTCCGCATCATCCAGCTTGCGCAACAGTTCGTTTTCGTCCGAGTTGACCCGATGTTCGCGTTCCTTTTCTCGCTCCCGCTCGTATCGTTCGAGTTTCCTGGAAATAAAGTAATATATTTCAATCAAAACGTCTCCAGTAGTTCCAGTTTTTTTTTTATTAAAGTCTGTATATAAACCAGTCATACTTAGCTTTTAAAAATGCATAGAGAATATCAAACTGAAGACGTTTTCATTGAAATATATTGTTTTATTCAAGTCGCTATGTAAATGTCATTAAAAAAAAATCCGTATAAACATGTGCTCTAACGCGCTTCTTCCTATATCTTCCCTATGATGTCATTCAGAAAAATGGCTTTCATATAAAGAGTTGAATAAAAAACTGGAATTACTGTAGATATTTTAATTGATTGTTCTGTGAATGCCTTTTTTTTAAAGCCCGTAAAAACATATCTTCTAACCTTCTTCCTTTAATCTTCTGTCTTTACGTGAATGCATACATAGAGGCTTGAATAAGAAACTGGAGTTACTGCAGGTGTTTTGATTAAAACATATGTTTTTTATTTTTATTCAAGTCTCTATGTGAATGATTTTTTAAGGTCTGTATAAACAAATCTTCTAATCTTCTTTCTCTGATCTTCACATAAATACTCGAATAAAAACTGGAATTACTGGAGAGCTTTTGATTGTAATATATAAATATATATAAAATTAATATTATTATATATTAAATATAATTTAAAAATTATATATCGTGTGATCAATCGATACCGACCACGTCATATGTCAGATCATTTCTTCTTGCTGTTGTGTTTTTGCGACTAGCTCAACGGGGAATTTGGTTTTGGAATAAAGTTATTTGATTACATTAGTACTGGCACACAGCAACAGATTACGTTCAGTAGGAAACAAATCACGTCAGGACCTGAGCAAGAGGGTCGAAAATTTAATTCTAAATAATTAAAATCCTATTGATACGTTTTAAGTTTTGAGCAACACAAGCTAAAAAAATTCTTTTTAAAAATAGTTTTTATATTTTTCGATGAGTTATTCAAAAATTTTCACAAATTACAAAGATTTTACTATGAAACAGAGATTGTAGATACGTTGATATCTATATTTTTATTACGATCGGTACCCACTTTTTTTGCTCATCAACGATGGCTGACAGATAGACGTTCCTGCTCTCCACGTCTTGCATTTGCAATTTAAGTTCACCCATCTCCTTCTCCAAGAGCTCTATTTGGAGCGGGGTGCTATTGAAAGGTTTTGGACTTGAATATACCTGAAACGTCATACATCCAGTACTTTATAAAATGTAAGTGGGCTTGAACGTACCTTGTGCTTCATATCTTCGTCTGGTGACGACGGAGACGATGAACTGGTCGGAGTCGAGCCCCTCACGAATACCAATTGGAATTGCAACTCTAAAACATAAGATCCAGTCGGCACGTTTTAGCGACCGACCTCAAATTTGCGAATACCTCGATTTTTGCTTTTAAGGATTTCGATTTCGCTGTGGAGGCCCGCCAACATCAGCTGGTGCTGCTCCTGCAGGAATTTGATGTTGTGTTCGAGCTGGGTTATCCGGGTTTGATCCGGACTCTTGGAAGTCGTGACGCCGTTCCTGGACGATAAGTCGGGCGACCGTGGCAGGACGATGTCTCCTCCATTACCGTTTCCCGACTTTGATTTGTTCACCTAAAAGCATCAAATGACACGAAAATGAACACGTCGCTTTCAGGCATGAGATTCTGCGAAAACTTCAAAAGAAATCAGGAGAGAAAATGAGGAAGTAGTATATGAGTTTATTGGAGAAAACTTTCCGGGACCACGACAAGACAAATATTCACTAAAAATATTATTTAAATTCTTCAATATATATTGAGGATAAATTTTTTTATATTATATTATATTATAGGAATATTTTCTTTCAAATAAACGTTCTAAAGTTCTCAGTCTTTTTCTATTAAATATATTGACTTAGATTTCGAGGGTCTTGTTTTTTAATCATTTTATGATATGGGAATCATTCATTTTTACGATATAGCTCTTGGATAATATAGTGGGCCTATTACGCGAAATGCGTAGGCGGCATTGATATTTTCGTAGAGAAAAGATAATTAGTTTCCGCTCATGCCTCTACATTTCACCTACTAACCTCTCCTTTGCGACATCTTCTTTCTAAAGAGCATTTTCTACAGATTTAAACCGTTTTCCCCAGAACATTTAACGAGAGACTATCAGCGGCCATGTTGGTTAGTTTTGCCCCAAGGTCATTGTTTAAAAACGAGATTTGAAATCTCACGCATGCGCTTATTAAATGAACCTTCTCAAATTTTAGTTACTTCAAGAGTTCATGTATTATCAGCGTAGCACGGCCTCTACATCTCTACTTACTGATAGTGATTTCTTTTTTAGAACTGATATATTGAAATGGAGTGTGAGCCCACATGTATCACTCCATTTCCAACGAAACATGCGGGACCATTAGAAGTAAGTAAACAAGCCGACCCCCTAAATATGTAAAAAATGTTCAAAAATAATTAAATATATTTAGAAAAAGTAAACATTTGTTCTTTTAATTGCGAAACGCAAACTTATTTCAAAATAAGTGTTGGAAGATAATTCAGTTAATTATTAAATACATAATATATCTCATAAATTTTAAAAAAATAAAAAATAAATAAAGTTTTTTGTTTTACGGAAGAAAGATACAACAGGACTTCTGGTTCATCTTACTCGCTATCGTAGCATTCAACTATCATTTATTTCCATTTAGACTTTTGTATACAAGTATACAATTAATCGCATATACATAGGATCAAACAAAAAATATTTTTTAATATTTTGTTATCAAAATTACTTCTTAATTGTTTATACATGTTGGAAATTTGAAGATATTCTTATGTCACGAAACAGTTGACGACAAGAAAAATGAAGTGAGTTATGAAACATCCTTATAAGGATTAGTTTTGGCAATTTCAATACTCCATAAGAGCGTGATGCGTTACCCTAACATATAAAGTTATAGTTGATGAATCAACATATGTAAACTAATATATATGTAAAAGATCTATAAAAACCAATTTTATTAGACTCTGACCCTGACGACTACAGAGATTCAACAATCTGACTACAGAGCTTTTATTTACGAACCTCCCAATAACTTTAACGGGATACTGGCAGTATCCTTGCATCCTTAGAAATGGTATTGTCGGTGAAAAGCGATAGGTGACTGCCAGCAAAAAGTGGGGGGGGGGGTGAGATTTACTCCCAAAGATATATTATATATATATATATATATATATATATATATATATATATATATATATATATATATATATATATATATATATATATATATATATATATATATATATATATATATATACTATTTTTTTGTGAACCCGTTAAGAGAAAGGCACAGGTATAGTCGGCAATAATTTCTGTGAAATTTTAATGAAGTCGCCCCAGGTGTTTTTTTATAGATTTATTAGACAGGGAAACAAAATGAAAAAAAAATCTAATGTACTGATTCCAAAAATGTCACTATATTTTTTTCTATCAATTCTAGTATTTGAGATACAGATTCATTGATAGTAGTTGTGATAAAGAAAAAAAAATAAAGAAGTAAATATATACTTAGTAGTGAAAATAGAAATTTCCTACTTAAAACTAGATTCTAATTAGCCATATATATACCTAGAATCGTTTACTATCATTTTACTATTTTGGTTGTTTTATAGTATCAAAAGACTGAATTAAAACAATTTAATGGACGTACCTGTGTATATCATCGAGATACGTTTTGTTATTTTTTGAAAAAGTGTAGATAAACTATTTCTGACTTTCAGAAAGGAGGATCAGGATCAGGATCTTATGCTCCACATTTTGTATAGAAAACATTAGTGGAATGAACATTTGCCACTGTGTAAAATTGGAAAGAGCGAGGAACGGCGAAGCCAGCATAAATAGACACAATAGGCCACAACGAGACTGAATTCAACGCTTCAACGTGTTCATTTGTTCAAGTAAACTTTTCTTGGTAATCGTTAAGCAGAGAATAATGTAGAGTTAGTGGACAGTGAACATTCCACCAGGACATTGGAAGTTTGCAATCACGGACCACGTGATAGCCACGTGATGGCATACTATTTCTGGAGCTTTCGGTGATGCTGGCATGAGTTTTTCTTTTTTTTGCCTGTCAGTAGTAATATACCAGTTAGAACGTAAAATACTCAAGTTCAAAATATAAAATGATGAATATAGCCTTTATCAAAGAGGAGATCAGATATAGAAAAGCTGAGGACATATACTTTTTACAAGTTGGAGAGATCCTTAGGGGAGCGACATAATCAATATTCATCTCCTACGTATACAAGGTCGTGACCTTTAACGGCCCTACAATATGGTCGCTTACCTGGCTGAACGGAGCGACGGGCAATTTTACCATAACCTTCGACGCCATGATTTCCAGGTAATCGGAAAGCTTTTCTACGGATCGACTAGCCGGTTTGAAATTCTATAGACGACACACTTACGCTGACTAACGATTCAAAAATATTCCAACGCTTACCGATGAAAATTATCAGTCGCATATACTTAGTACGCGCCCAGCGAAAACGGAAAATTCAACCCACCCGATCGATCGTAGCTTCGCAGTTATTTTTAATACGCGTTAGAACTAAACGACTTAAAGCACCCGGAAAATCTTCAGTTTTAAAACTACGTCTCTCGTTCACGACAGTATAGTACACCTTGCTCGCCCTTATTATCGATTATCCTGGAAATCTTTTTGTTTTGACATGCTCCGTGGGAACCTCGGCCGAATGATTGGGAAAACTGCGGGACACGTGGGGGTTGAAAATGGCCGCCGCAATGATGAACGTTTTAAAGTAATTGATGTGGCGATCGAAGCCGGGAGTCGACTAAATGTTGTGAACATAATGATATTTCTTCAATGACTAAATTTACTGGCACAAAAATGTTTTCAAATATAAACAAATCGCAACTATTGTGTTTTGTGCGCAATTTTTTGAATAAAGAAAAGATAAATAATAACATTTCCATAAAACAGAATTATTCTTATTGGACGCACAACCACAAAAGCTTAGAAGAGAGAGCTTAATCACCAAGCCCAATGCTAAGCGAATGATTGATAGTACACTAAACTCTTTGAAAGATAAGAAAGCAAGAGAGCAACTCCTTAAATACGGCTCCTCAAGCTAGAAACATATTTGCAGGGCTTATGACTCGATATACTCGTATGAATAGAGAAGTCCCAATACAGGACTCCTGAAACATCGGATGGATTAGCACTTTCAGTAAACTATTCGGAAAGTTCCTAAAGCAAATGTGTCGGGGTCTACGATAAGCATGCTGCCTCTTACTAGTTTGTGGTAGCCCGTGGCAAGAAGGACGTTGAATTCATGATCCGGAAATTAGTTGAATCTGGGAGTTAAGTTGAAGATATGACTTCTTGAGATTTATAAGTAATAATAAAATATTACAAACCTAGAGTAACCACAACTGCCTATCAGATCAATTATAGTACACCCTCAATCATCCTTACCTCTAACGGTTCGTATTGAAAGGAAAAAAAAACTATATAATCTAATCTAATAAATGGACCAGGTTAGAAAATTCCTCAGAAACAGTTATTACCACTTTGTGAACTCATATCTTCATAGGGCACAAAAATTAACTTTTACTTTAAGGGATGAGGACAATAAGTTTATATATCAAATATTCCGTACTGAAAATAAAAATTTTGAAAATAAAATAAATAAATACAAATAAAATCACTTTACAAATATTTTTTTAGTGAATAATTTGTATCCATGCTGACCATTTGATAATCTTTAGTCCAATTACAAAAAAACTAAAACAGTTTCCATGAAAAGTGAAAAATTCATTATAATTCATTAGCATGCAAATTTTGAAAATTTAAGGCAATATAAAGTACTATAACATTTACTAAAACTTAGGAAGTTATTTTATTAAGACGATGTATAAATAAACAATATTTACTTGCATTATTATAAAGAACTTACCACAAATTTTCCGATGAGGTGAGCGTTGGTCCCTGCACTTGGAGGAGTCAACGGGGGTAACACGATCGTGTTTAAAGGCACTCTTCGATGGTCCGCGTTACGCCTAATAAATTTGATTTGTCTCATCATCTAAATCCACTGAAATGCATCAGGCGCAACTAAGTACAATAAATATTAAATAATTATGTTTGCGTTTACCTACGGATATAAAATAATACTGAAAACGTTGTAAAACAACAATTATTGTCAATCGGTGGACCGGGTAGAGACCGTGGAGTCCAGGTGCGTGCCCATAGACCGTTACCAGGACGACGACGGTCAACGAAATAAACAAACGGTCGCGTGGTGAACTCGGCTCGCGTATTGTTAAATGTTTCTGTCATTTTTTTTGTTGTGTTTTAATTTAGTCAGTCACTTCAAGCTCGCTATCGATTCAACAAGCTTTCGTCCCGCGAAAGCCACCGAAAAAAAATGAACGCCTTCTACGAAGTCCACGGTGTAAGTGTTTGTTTTAATGTGTAGTATTGTTCATGGTCTAAGAAAGTGATCCGAGCTCTGTTATTATATGTGCCACTTTATTAACATTTCGAACAGATATTTTGGTGCCTGTCATTTTTCAACTGTTGCTGGATAATTTTGGGCGTAGAATAAAAAAAACCCTCAGATTTTGTTGATCCGATCTAGTTTTAAACAATTTCTTTTACACGACTTTCTGGAATGGAGTCTACTATCTAGGTGGCTGTGGAGTGAACTTTTATAATCATGTTACAACGAAGATTAAAATTTGAAAGCACGTAATTCTTTGCTTAATAATTGCCAACAAAATTTGGTACTACTCGTGAATTGTAGATCTTGAACAAGTTACATTGTGTGAGGCCTCTCAAGTATACAAGTTTTTAGTTTTCATCTCGATTTAAAGCATTCACAAATTGCTTCATCAGCCCCAGCTTGATATCCAAAGGCGAAAGTAAAAGTGTTTCTCTTTAAACTAAAGGATTATTGATGACGTTTTGCTTATAAAGAATAAATAAAACAAGGATATTGTGTATATACTCTCTGTTATCCAAGGAGGAAGTTTGCCATTTTGAAATAAACTTAAATGGCTCCATGATATGGCGCCAATCATCTGGGGTGTATTCAGGCTAACCCATTTTTTGTAAGAGTCTTTTTATATTGTTTAAAATATCCGGTTACTTCCCAGAATGAAAAAGATCCTTGTCTCTTTTAATAAAATGTAATTTTAGCACCTGGGTGCAAATAATTCAGCAGACTCATTTGAGAGGTTTAGGTCGCTTAGAAGATCGTTATTGATTTATTTAAACTTCCCTCAGCTCAGGAAAATTACTGTACGTTTGCTTATGGATACCATTGTTTTAGTGCAAGTGTTTTGATACTATTAAACGACGAAAAATTACACAAAATAATAGCGTACCCTTACCTTCCTAATATTCACTTATGTGGAGGTTAAACGGGTACAGAAGATCGGGGAATAGGCAATTTCAGGTATAAAGGTGACGATGCAAAAAAAGTGGTGGTATTAGAATCAGCATATTAAAAACATCTTAAATCAGTTGTTGGATTTCCGGCACCATTTTTTAAAAATTTTGTTACGTCTTTAGAGTCTTATCAAATTTCATATGAACTTTATTAGTCAAGTCACTTCCTTAGATTAATAAAAGAGAAATAAATACCTAAAAATGAGGAACTATTTGTATTCTGTTGGGCAGGCCGTTTTGAAAAACGAATTCGACCTTATCAGCAGGTTGGAAGATGAGCACGAGAGTTTGGAGCGAAAAGTTCGAAATAAAAGCAGATTTCAGGCTCACCCGAAAAGGATCCGCTCGGATTCTGATACGACGGCGTCTGATTCGCCCGGACCTTTGCCGGAGGCGTCGACTAGGTCTGTAGCTGAACCGACTCTGAGCAGGGGCCACCCTGTTTACCAGGAAAGAAAGGTACATGTCCCAGGACGTTACCTGAATCATCTAAAAATATTTCGGAATTTATTTATTATTTATTCGTTTGAGAATCGTCCGACTTCAAGAAACAGAGAGTACGTGGTGTCTATGGATCAAATTCATAATCAAACGTTATATTAATGTAAAATCTGTAGAGGAGGCGAAAGGTTTGCTTTTGAAAAAAATCGAGCTAGCTGAAAACATTTTTACGGATTTGCCGATTCTTCTACTAGTTATTGGACATAGTTTTTATTTATATTTCGATACCCAGCTACAGAGGTTATTAAAAGGGCTAGGTGAAAACTCAAATTTCATAGTATCATGTGAAAGACATTATTCCTATTTAAACTATATTTAATTTCTGCTTAATAATCTTATATTACAGATAACTAAAATGGACATCGTTGTAAAGGTGGCATAAATTCATTTCGTTATCGTTAAATGGTTTTTCCTCTATGCCTTTGCTCTTAGGCCTCCAACGCTGCCCTGAACGGATTAATTTTAATTTCGTTTGCTTCTATCATCGATCAAAAACTAAGGGTCTAACTCTTTAATCAAAACCGCACTTCGATATTTCTTCCTTAACTAATTATATCAGTAAAAGAAATAAAATAAAAATAATGTCGCCATCATTGGGAATATTTTGAGGATGTCTACCAATATTAAATACTAATATTCGTTCTTTTAGCAATATATATATATATATATATATATATATATATATATATATATATATATATATATATATATATATATATATATATATATATATATATATATATATATATATATATATATATATATATATATATATATATATATATATATATATATATATATATATATATATATATATATATATATATATATATATATATATATATATATATATATATATATATATATATATATATATATATATATAAAAATTTACCGTTATTGTGCACAACATTATATTTAACATGTCAATAATAATTAATACTCATTCCTATATGATTGAATATTGCATTACAATTTATTACAAAAATGAATGACAATCACATAGATAAAACGCTACGATCCTTGTGTTTTGAAATAAACACGAAACATATCAAGCACTTCTACAGGTGGAAAAGACATTTTATTACAAATAAGGTCTTAAAATCCGCGATTATGAGTTTTGCTATTTTGTTTTGGATTTTAAATTTTCGAATTACGTATGGACGGATGTCGAATATTCAGTCATATTGAATGTGCATTAAATATTATTGATATTTTTAATGTTTTAGCTTTAAACATACAGTGTGTCCCACTTATGAAATGTACAGCCTTGTGAAATTTTATTCATCGATTTTGACTTTTTTTGTTGGATAGACCTCTGAAAAATGCACTAAAATCTTGTTTTGCTTAATGCTTCAACTTAAAGTCATGGCCAACTGGGAGTATTTAACAAAGAGAAGACAGAAGTGTTGTTAGGGATTTAAAAAAGTGAAATAAAGTGGCAACGAATTCTTATTCAGGAGTACTTAGAACCCAACTATACCAATTTTTATAATGTTTCAATACAGAGTGTTTGACATTTCGTTTGCGCCCCGCTTAAGGCTGTACATCGTTGTCTTTGATTACTGTGTGTCATGTCAAGTCAAATATCCAGAAGGGTGTCAACGAATTCTTATTCAGAACTAAATAAACCTATTCTAATTACAATGAAGTTCGCTTAAGCATTAGTCATGTGGAATGGTTGTTTAGGGCTTTTTTTTTCGTATAGCATACACTAAAGTCATGGTTAACTGACTTTTTTGAAGTCGAAAATCGAGAAATTCTTTTAGAGATTTTTTCATATTTAAAATGAAGTTTCTTTGAAAAAAGTCTGTTTAGTTCATCCTCTCTAATCATATTTAATTTTAAGAAAATCATCAGCGTCTTTTATTAAAATCTATTCAACAAAAAAGAATGATCAAAATTGAGCCATAAACAAACATTCTGAAGTAGTAATGACTAAGCAAAGCGCCCGCTATATTTCGAACACCCTGTAGTCGAACTTCATTGAAATTAGTATGGGTCGGTTTTATATAGTTCTGAACAAGAATTAACCCTTCTCGATATTTGACATTAAAAATTAGTCCCAGTTAGCCATGACTTGATGTAATAAGAAACATAAGGTTTTAGTACGTTGTTGAAAGATCTCTCCAACAAAAAACAAATCAAACCAAACCGTAATCAAAGATTTTACAACGATGTACAGCCTTAAGCGGGGCGCAAATGATATTTCAAACACCCTGTATTGCAACAATATAAAAATTGGTATAGTTGGGTTCTAAGGACTCCTGAATAAGAATTCCTGCCAATTTATTTTTGCAAGAATCCCTAATAGCACTTCTCTCTTCTCTATTTTTGTTAAATAGTCTCAATTGGCCATGACTTTAAATTGAAGCAATAAGCAAAACACGGTTTTAGTGCGTTTTTTCAGAGACCTATCCAACAAAAAAAATTATCAAAATCGAACCATAAACAAAGATTTTCCAACGGTTTTTAAGTTGTACACTGCCGTTTTTATGGACTTGTTAGACTCTTATTTGGTTAGTTTGAGTTTTTTTTGAGAAAATAAATTTTATTTGTAGTGATGTCGCAAAACGTCCTCTAGTGGCGATATAAGCAATGAATCTACTCATGGCAGCATTCATAGCGTAAAAAGAGTCCTTTCCAATGACTACAAGTGAGACAACGTTTCGCGTTCCGCCATTCTGAAGTTATCGACGTTTATTTCCGACAATGTTCAACACCCCACTTCCCCCACACCCTCAACTTTTCTTGAATTTTGAAAATGAATCCAATTTGTTCCAGCATTTCAACGGCGTCGATTTTGGCTATCTCTAATAAAAGATTATTTCCCAAGAAACGGAATATAAAATTCAGGAATGCGATTACGCCCTATGGCGGCTGTTCTAGAAACTTTAAAATAATTTCCAGAATTTTCTTTTCGCAGCTTGAGTTATAAGTTTTCGACAATATGTCTTTACGACAATTACTTTCTCCTAGATTTATTTACGCTTATCCACATTTCCAAATTTAATAGCATTAGTCCGTAAAAAAATGGGAAAATTCCAAATAACCGTCTGCTAAAAATTTATTTCAGCAAAAAGTCCATAGCTTCAAAAAAAGTCTTCGCGAAAGATTGTCTTCCGTGGATCCCGAATTCGGCGTTAACCGCCACCCTAACAGCGGATTAGAAGAGGACGACTGCAAACTAGCTGCGGACAGATTCCGTAGCTACGGGGATAGTGCGTCGTCCTCGTCCGATAGTTTGCCTTCGAGACGCAAATTGTCCGGACGAGAAATCGCCGACAAGGGCGCGGATGTTTCAAAAAATGTCCGTTCGCGGGGCAAACTGCCATCTCCGGGTTTTTGCGCGCCAGCTCGCGGCATCCCCGACGCCGTGTTCGAAAAGAAGTTCAAGGTCGTCTGCGAGAAGAGTTTACAAATCGTCATGGACATCAGGTGGGCGGAGCTATATGGTTTCCATTATGTAGAGTTACTAATAATTCTTTATTTCAAATCAGAACTACTCACAAAAGGAAACAATATATAAAATAAATTGACATCACAAAAATATAACTATAACAAGTCTGGCTACAAAAACTCTATTTCAATAAGGAGTCTCTCGATAGTCCTTTTCTGAGAACTGAATGCGAGAGAGTTATAAAATATAATTTTACAATTACAGGCATCATTAAACAGTGTGTCCAACTTAAAGGTTATATCGTGAAGTTCAGATAGTTGATGATAACACAATCCTACAAAATTAAACTTTTATTTATTTATTTTTTTATTCAGTAAAAAACTGGAATCTTAGTTAAAAAAAGGAAGAAATAACTTCACTCGGGCCTTTTTGACTGAAATCTTCCTTTTTTTGCTAGAAAGCGTCGTTGTCGGGACATTCGGCTGTGTGTTTTTACGGGCATATCCCGTTTTAACAACCAGCAGTAGTCCGCCATCATCGTTATGCTCCATCCGCATTGCTATCGTCGTTTTCGTACAAATATGTGAAACACTGTCTATTTTTGTCTAAGGCTTTAACAAACCGCTTCATCAAGCCCAGTTTGATATGAAGAGGAGACAGTAAAACTTTTTTTGGGGTCAGCTATCTCTTATTACATTTTTGCTACCAGGTGTAAGGCTTGTTCTAGAGGGCCATTCTATTTGAGTCGAATTGCTCGAATATCCCAGTCACAAATAAATCATGGAAATTTTGTGTAACCCCTCTGTTGTCCTAGCAACATGCACAGCACTTTAAGGTGACCACAAAGCACCCACTGATGTTCTTGATAGTTTATTTTCTCCAAAAGGAGTCCTAAATTTTCATACATTTCTTTTAAATATACCGAATGTACTACGGGAATCGAGACCAGTTCGTTACCATTGTACATTAAAACGCCTTTTAAACTACCCTTACTTGAGTCAATAAATAGGCGCCATTCTTCTTTTATATACGGCACATTTCCTAATTTTGAAACTAAGTCAGGAATATTGTTGCAATAAACTAGCGGTCTTTCCTGAGTAAAATATTGACATAACTCTTTTTCGCGGTAAAAGCTTGATGCCAATAAATGCTTTTCACGAAGTCTGGACGCGAAAAATTCGGATGTATCCTTAAACACTTCGGGCTCTCTGAAATCTGGTGTGAAATCAGTCACATGAGTCGGAATTAGATTCCTCTGATTCTGACGATATGACGTTTTCTAGCTCTTTTGGGGCGGTAGGTATCGGTAATCTGGTCCATGACGAACTGGTGCAATAGCAGTCCAGATTGGGATACACGATTTGTTTCTTATTTTTTCTGTTGAATCCTTGAACTTTACACGAACAAAAATAACAATCATAGGAACTACCAAAGATATAACAAAAGTGATTTGGATTGTTCACACAATGTCTTCTTCTTTCCATATTTATAAGTTCTAGAACATTACAAATACGCACAACGAAGATAACAGCCGCGAACACAGCAGCGCAACGACATATACAGCCAAACTGCGCATAAGCAAGTTACAACACTGTATTGACGCTTCTGCGCCAACTCAATTGCTTTGTAGAGAAATCTAATATTATCCAGTGTTGCCAAATCACATTTAATTTCATAAGAATCAATTCATTATAGAGATGAGTAGATAATTGAGATGTTCATTATTCTCAAATCATATCATAAAATTTATATAAACACCATTATTTTAAAAAATATACAATTTACAATACAACTTCATGTGTAAATTTCCATGTTCATGTTCCGAGTAGTCAGATGTACTATAGTCGTTGGAGTCTAGTTTTAATCACATCTTCGACGCGCTTACTCCTAAGGGGCTAAGAGGATTTCGGCATCTCTTCTTTTTGCGTTTCCTTTTCGTTCCGAATGTTGGCGACTAGCATGGCTATTCTTACTTTGATGGCGGCTTTGCGGAACCGTCTAGTCGTGGTTATTTTAAACCATTTCCTTAGGTTTTGAAACCAAGAGATTCGTCTTCGTCCTGGAGGAGGCTCTACCGTTGTTCGTTCCTCACAATATGGTCTAGGTATTCCAATTTACGTTTTTTCTGCCTTATTCTGCGTAAGACATCATTATTTGCGACTCGGTCGGCCCAGGGGATTCTAGGGACTAACACCATATCTCGCACGCTTCCAGTAGCAACCGTCGGGAGCGTCTAAGCCTCCGCACCGTATAATAGAACTGAAAAATTATAGCTCTGTAGTACGAAGATCGTGGCTTTTAAAGACGGTGCTCGTCATTATAAATGCGGCTTTGTCTTTGATATACGTTGTCTTATTTCCAAGGAGTGGTCCCATTGACTGTTTACATTTGTGCCAAGATATGTGTAGCTTTTAATTCTTTCACTTGGCTGTTGGTTGATGGTCAGATGAGTATTTAAGACTGGACGTTTGCTAATGACCATATATTTCGGCATATCTTTCTGAAATTGCTAATTATTTAAAGGAGTCAAGAATACGCAGCAATAAGAGTATTTGCTCGAAGTAGGTAGTCTTCAAAAACATCAACATCCTGAGGCTGCTTTTATTCCAGTGGACCATCCTTCTATAAAAGTTATCCTCGCGTTTTTTAAACTTTCATCCTACCATGTTTTACCAATGGTATATATTTCATCTACTCAAATTTCGCCGAGATAATAAATATTTCTGTTTTCCCTTCGAAACTGTCTAACCGCTCTCAAATATCGTCGTCGCCAGCGGATAATTTCGTCTTTCTTAATTAACGGTGATCTTCTGTTTCCTTCAGAGCTTTGCACAATCACACTAAGATCACTAAGTTTCACAGTTCAATAATGATTTATAAATCTCTCGCATTTTCTAATTCCGAATGTTGAGTTTTGGTGTCGAAGACCATTGAACACATGAACGAATGGATTTGTGATATTGAAACGTTTTAGGACTTTACTTTCCAAGGGCGTGTGCCTTCCCGACGGCGACGAAGACGCGGCGAGGAGAATTACCAGACTGAAAGAATTTTCGAGCAGGTTCTCCAGAAATTATCTTTACCCGTTAGCGCGCCAGGTGAGGAGGGTGCGCCGATCACAGAAAATTACCCAAAACGACGCCTTTTCATATTTATTTTAGACGAAAGAATTAATGAGTCCGCATTTCCAATACAATACGTCGCTAGTCACCCAAAAAATACTATCCGTATACCAAACCGTCTTGCACGCATTGCAAGCGTATCTAAGCCACTGGCCGACGTCTATCGGCAACTGTGCCGCCGACCAACTCAAGATATTGATGAATCATATGATCGAGCTGAGTGTCATCCACAGGAAACGCGTAAAAATTGACGACGGCTATTTATTGGAATTTATCGACGTGAGTAATTTTTACGGTTAGTTTCGAAAAACATTTTTTTATTTTACGGGAGTGCACGAGACAAGTGCCCTTATTTCACAACAGAAAAGCACCAATACAAATAAAGAAGGGGAAAACGCCAGCATTCTTCAAAATCTTAGTCCAAAATTTCAATAATAATATATATGTTATATTCGTGGCCGAGATATTTTGGTTTTTTTTTTAAACTCCCTTCGAACATAACACAAATTTTTAGACTCTACTTTTAAACTGAACAATAGAAAACAAGTCGTTTCAAAATCTTACAAAAAAAACCAACCACAATAAGGTTATCCTGACATTGCGCTAGTTGAAAACAAACAAATTGAATTATTCCATACAACATATATATAGCAATTAATATAATAATAAATGATCAATCAGCGGGGCAAATTTAGATCCAAGAGGTACCCTTAGAGGTACCGTTTCACTCTTTGGGTCTTTCTAAACTATTAGATTTCCCTGTGATTTGTTGTCTAGAATTTAGTTGCGTGTTAACCTTTTCTCGACCTTGATATATCTCCAGATGGGGCGTTTTAGATCAGATTTTGGTACCGTCCTTGAGACCAGCAGGGTATCCTTCCTCTAAACCGTCGTTCGGAGTCATCAGATCTATAACCAAAAACAGTTTGCAACTCATGTGGTGGAAAGTTACTTCGTTACTTTAACGAAGGTAGCACGGTGTAGCGCCCCCGAACGTCTTGTTTTGTTATTTATTGCTGAGAGGAAGTGACGCGTGGAGTCTACGCGCAACAGGGTTCCGGAAAACATCATAGGCGTGCGACGTCTTTGTATCGGGTTCCAAGTGCGGCTGCAAATCACTATCTTCGTCAAATAGGTATTTGTAATGCCTTTGATCTCTTTAACTTGGATTCAAATTTACCGCTTTCGCATTGGCATATCAAACTTCCGAATTTTGCATGATGACGTTACATCCTTGACCTGCCGTAACAATACGCCTCTGACTTATAGCAATGCGAAACATTGTGACCTTTCGAACCCTTCTGAGCCTCTTAAGCCCAACCCACACGATATAAGATTTCATTCATTCATTTCATAATTCCCGGTTAGAGAATCATTTCAGATTCACTCACCTTATTGATATTATAAGGGTGACTCTTGTAATTTTTTGTCTGGTGTGCGTGGGGCGGATTGAGTGCATAAAAAGAGTCGATTGTGTCCTCGCTTATCAGATGGCGCGTGTATAGTAGTCGAGCGGAAGTTCTTGTGCTTTTGGTTTTGCAAAATAATAAAATAAAATAGATGAAGGAATCAATCTGTCGCAATTAGTGCACTAAATGCTGCCGTTATTTTTTGGTTTCTTTATTCGATAACGCCTACTCAAAATCTCTTGTATTTTCTTTTTATTCATACTTATTGTTTATTAATATTGTTTTTATTAATGTTATTATTTCCAGTGACGACTACTCAGCTGTAATAAATCTAGTTCATTATCCCGCTTTAATAAACCAAAGTTTCCCGAACGTTTCCTTTCTCTTTTGCCACCCTCACTCTACCTTGATAGAGTCTAAATTTGTATGCTTTTTTTTATAATATTTTAGTTATTTGCTTTTCTACATTAGCTGCTACGAATTCCCTTTGAGAGCACGGGTTGCTAGCGGGGCAAGGCTATTCTCCCGTGAAGCATTGGTTTTTTTATGTCGACCTTCAGATTTGGGAGTTTGCAACAGCTACTCAAGAGTGTACATTTTCGGGTGACTTTCATCCCAATTCCCAATAAATGTAGTATTTACGTGACTATTTTTACAACAATTGTAAATTATACAACAAAAAACTATAGCATTAAAATAGAAAGAATGAAAAGGCAAGCACCAACAAGCACATCAATCGATCTGTTGTCATAAAAGAAGAAGAAAGAGTTTGTTTTTTAATTTATCAGTTCGCAATCGCTTTACCTGAGTTGGTAGTTTGCTGTGTACCATTATATTCACCTTTGACCACGTCGAGGTATAGTTATCACTCAACTATAGGTAAAACCAGTATTATCGTACGGATCTTACGATTTATCAACGACGAACTTCCACGTTTGTTCCTTTTTTGTATTGTTTAATTGCACCCTAGATATATAATCAGTAGTTAGACCAATAGTTCGACTTCTGTTTTTTTTTTTTGATGACGCAAAATATCATGACGGGTTGTAGCAAACTTTCTATAAAAATTGCTACTATATTAATTTTTTTCCAATTTTGCTTAGCTTGTGACATCTTTAAGAAAACAATTGTTAAACATGATAACTTCAAAAACAGTTTGTTACCTAGCAATAAGTTTTATAACATTATTCAAGTTTAATATTAGATAGAGAATATTTATTATGTACTTTAAGTTTTTAAGAAAGCCATAGAACCTTTTTAAAGTAATCAACACCAAACCAAACGGAAACGTCTTGGATGCAATATTTAAAGTGGTTTTTTACGTTTTAAAAAACATGTAATACCAAAGGTTTCCTTATAAAACTATGTTTTCTTATAAATATCCGTCACCTTAAAATAAAACATTAAGCTGCGCGAAATATAAGACGCTTTTGTTTCAGGTTACAGTAATGGTGTTTCGATGAAGAAGATAAATTGTTCTATTTACAGGAAATAATAGCCTACAATGAGATCGAAAATCAGCTCCGCATAAAACTCAAATAACACTTTTTTTTATTTCTCTAAAATGTTCACACAAACGGTATTTTGAAAACACAAGAATTAAGAAAACAATTTTATTACTACCTTAACAAATTGTTCGGTGTCTTGTAACCATGTGGTTTTTCATCAATCGTAAGCTCCAATAGTGTGTTAGATTGGGCCATATATTGCGCTAAAGCTGGTTTCTTGATGCAAGAGATCAATAAAATATAAACTTGCAATGATCATTAAGCACGGTGGACAACTGAAAAGTTATATCATAATGCACTGCAATGATAGTATTGCGTATTTCAGTTTTTAAGCCCACACACCTACAATCTTTTCTAAATTAGGGTCACAGTAATTTGCATACGAATTTAGTAAATGAAAGTAATGTGACAACGACGTTAATTTAGTAGTTTAATAATATAATAAATATAATAATAATTATGCTTATAATGATATATTATTAATATTATTTTAAGATCAAGTTAATGAAAACTTATGTAGGAGTGAATATAATAAGAAAGTAATAATAATAATGTATTTACCACAACTTTTTAATAATATGGCAAATATTATACCACCAAACCCACTAAAGAAATCTCTCAAGCGTGGGTAGCTTTAATTAATATATTATATACTAATAATTACCGATAGAATCAAAATTATTACTTAACTAACAAAGTTTGTCTTACGTTGCAGTAGATAGAAACAATATAACAATTGAACCAACAAGATAAAATCAACAGTTAAATAAATTATTAAAAAAAATCTATTTAAAGAATAAATTAATGGCAGTTTTATACCTATTATTTTATTCATTTATTTATGTACTGGCTAATAAATACATATTTCTACAATCTATGAAATCGGCCATTAGTTTGCGTGGTTCTTCAGTTATCCAAAGTTAACTTTTTTTAAAATAAATTTTGGAACAAGGTATGTATGGCATCTCGATGCTATCTATAGTCTTCTCAAGAACTGGTAATTTATATTTGTTGAGTTTGTTGTATGTTTATTTTTGTGTTGGCGTATTAACAGATTGTGGCATAATATTTGATGCGGATCGGAAACTTCGCCAAATTATATCAAATTGAATCTGGCTAAAAGTGCCCTATAATAGATAAATTGTAATAAATATTATTATTAAAAATATCTACTCTTTAAAATAAAACTTCATTTGTAAATTTGTAAATCATTGTATGGCCCAGTAGTCAGATAAACTATAGTTGTTATCGTTCACACAAATAATCCGTTTTCTATCATGTTATTATTCTATCTTCTAATTCATTTAGATATTCGACGCACTAACTCTATTTTTCTCTATCCCTTTTGCAAGAGGGCTTCAATGTCCCATATTTTAAAAACAGTATTGTGATATGATGGAAAGCGAAGAGGTTCGAAGCGATTTTTCAGCATACCGTCCTGAAATTACTTCTTATTTAAATTTTAGGAGACCGAGGACGAATAAAATAAAGCATTTACTATTTTCAACAACTGTTGGAAAGTAACTGTAATTATAATTTTAGACACTAAGGCACATAAGTGGTAACTGGCATTAACCATGACCATCAGGGACTCGGCAGGAATAAGATCTAGCATTTGCTGGAAGTAGTCTTCTGTCCGACTGTCCAACTCGTCATAATCATACACATTGCACTGGTGGCGATCAGTTTTGAATTGAAAATCATAATTTTCTCTTTTTTAGGAAACGTAGTTTTATCAATTTCGTTTCTCAGCAATCAATTTAGTAACACTAAGTAACACACAACTGCCGCAAAGTAACTATAATTCTAATTTTAATTTTTTATTAAACTATCAATTATACGTTTTAAAATAATCGTATACCCATGATCCAAACTCTTTTACAAAATATCGTGGAATAAACAATCGCAGTCATCTATACCAAAAAAAGGAAGTTTTTAACTTTCTTTATCTTTGCAATAATCGTTTCTTTTTATTGTTATATTTATACGCTAATAGAGAAAAAAAGACAACTTTTATGTATTTTTTTTACGTGGCCGTTTTAATAAAGTGCATAGGTGGGTGTCAAAACATAAAACAAAAGTTTGGGATACGGTAAAAATAACGGAATACCTTTTGCAGACGTATAAAATCAATGCCGAATTGACCGCGCAAAAAATCGGGGAATTTCTTTCCCATCCGGTGCCGTCCTGTACAATTTTAAAATCGGAAAATACGAGGGTCAGCTTGAGCGGCTCCGGTAAAAAATCTGACTCGGGCCCAGGCAGAAAACGGACCGGGCAAAATGGCGTCGACAAAAGGTTCTCGATGTACGCCACGACCGCGTCGTTCAGGAAAGACGCGCCCTGGAAAAGGGCGGTCGAGACTTTGGCAAAGAAAAAGTAAGCTCGAGTCCGGCAGTTAGTCTAAAAAAGATGGCGTAATTTGTCGTAGGTTTAATGTCACGTCGAGGTACAAAACGGCGATCTACAAGCACCGCCCGCCCATACAGAAGGAACCTAAAATCGTAACCCTTCCGAAATTAAAACTCGGGGTTAGGAAGAAATCTGATGTGATATCGCGTACCCCCACCACCGACCGTCACGTGGACGAAGATCGAATCGAAACCATGGTGGAAGGGTGCGACGAAGTTGAAAACTTCGGCTCGGATGCTGGGGTGAGTGTTTGTTTCGATTTTTTCCATATATTGATCGCCCCATATAAAATTGTGTTGTGACGATACTGATCCAGGTATTGCAACGAAAATTTAACCACACACTAAGGAGATGATACACTACTCAATCAGTTTGACAGATGCGCGTCAGATTATACAGGGTGTCCCAAATAGGTAGTGCCATTTTAGCGAATTCAATTAACAAAATCTCAGGATTTTCAAATGGCAAACGTTATATTTTTATTCAGATATCATTTCTAGCACAAAAAATAAGGTAAGTTTGTAATTTATCTTATATTTAAATTTTACTTACTTTTTGAGATATTCGAGGTATAAGATAACACCCGTCTAAATTCTTGTTGAATTTAAAGCTGCTGTGTAGGTCACTTGTTGGCAATATTAGGTATTTTTTCAATATCAAAGATATAATAATACTCCAGATATACGAATAAAACCTATTGCTAACAATACAGGGTGTTCATTAACATCTGGAAATTTTGAAAAAAATCGACTCTATACTACACACTTTAACAGATTTAATAAATCCTCAGAATTCGTATTTAAAGAACCTTTTAATAGTTATAGGCTAATTAAACAAGGTAAGAAATTTGAATAAATAAATCTATAAAACAAAAAAACCAGAAAGGAATAACTAATGTTTCAAATATATTGTCCATCCTGTGCAATACACGTTGTATAGCGCGTCATAATGCTGGAGACCGCATTTCTAACCGCATCACTATTACCACTACTTTCCTGCAGTTGTTAGCAAAGTTGGTTCTAGAAACTACGCTTTCTAAAAACGAGAAAATTGTGTTCAAAGCTGCCCTCCAAAACTCAACATTCGGAGTTACACAAAGTTGGACGGGCAACTATATACCGACTTGCACACTTCTTCACAACCGGTCATTTAACTAAACTATTTTTGGTTCTGACATTTACCACACCTGTAATCCCGTCAGCGTCAGGATGAACAGAATCAATCCGTCCTAGCCTCCATTGAAAAGGCGGTAAATTATCCTCTTTCAACACAACTAGAGAGCCCCGAGTGATAAAACTGGTATCTTTATCTCATTTATCCCTCGGTTGTAAAGAATGTCATTTTGGTTAGTAACTGCTACCTGTTCAGTCTATTCATGGGAATACAGGTAAGGACAGATCAGGGATAGCTGATAGAGGAGCTAAGGAGAGAAAATGTCCAGAGGTGAAACTGGACAGATCGTTTGGATCCAATACTCATAGAACAAAGTGGTCTAGAGTTAAGGACTGCCTCAATTTGAGTGAGGACTGTGTAACACGTAGCCCTATCAGGTCACCAAAGAGAAGTACACGAAGAAAATGAACTGTAATAAACTAGGATGAATACCTACCTTGGACAAAACAATGAATGAAATAAAAAAGCATGGTTATGATGGGTATGAAGAAATTTTGGAACACTTTGAAGAAAATGAATTTTACGTATTTGCATCTAAAAATTTAGAACTAACTTCAGATTTCTGTCTAATTTAAAAACCAAATAATTTATGAATTTATGAATAACGACACGCTGGTTTCAAACAACGTATTTTTTATATTATTTATATTTTAAAAATTATCCCTAACCTAAACGTATACAGTGATATTTATGGTTGTTGTATGGTTAAGTTGTGTTGCATTTGAAGCTCGTTGAAATACATTATCAATTTTCGGAAAGATTAAATTTTTAGCTTCACCTTTTCCCAATTGAAAAAAAAACCAGAATATTCAAAACTAGTAGCTGGGATTGCTTCGTGGCATCTTACAAAAGTTTATAGTGTCACAACAAATCAATGTCTTTGACGAATATATTCTGAAAGACACAGAACCAAAACCGGCATTTTCTTTGTCTGTCACCTGACATAGATTAAACAAGAATAACCAAAAATGACGTCATTTCAGACAGGCAAGAGCGAAGGTACAACTTTTCGCATATTTTTGAAATCATGACCGACACAGTGGGCGTAAGGGAGTGCTAAATAAAAAAGCATCGATTCGCTAAGCCTAATTTATTTGAAAAACACAGCACGCAAACATGAAGTCACGCTGAATCTTGGTAACGAAGCTTACACTGTAAACATTAAATCGTATATTAGTGTGGTTGGTGGGGGGTAAAAACAAACAAGAGTGATGCGTGATCAGCATTTCACGCAGTGAGGTTTTCCGGTCTTCTGATCCAACTTGTACGACTGATCCTTCATGATCGGCTTCTCACATTTCTGAAACATTTGAAAGGCGACAGTTTGAATAGTGTACAGTGTGTCCCATTTTTGATGGTTGTAGGAAATTGTTAATAAAGCTAGCGTCTTATTGCTCTAGCAAGCTGAGGCTGCTTTTCCATGAAGCGATATGCAATGAAAGGTGAAACAAACCGAAATGTCATAGCTATTTCAAATTTTTAGGTTAACGGTGATTTTCAAAATGTTGCGTTTTTCAGACACCGTTTGTAGCTCGGTGAAAACTGAGCATGGAGTTTTTTATGTGTTGTTTTCTATGTTGCAGAAATATGTAACACATCAGAGGTGTTTCAAATACAAAGCATATATCTTAAATTCTTTTTTGTAGACGTTAGAAAAAAGTGTCCCTTTTACATTTATTCAGTTGTCAAACAATCATATAATTTCAGAGAGGGGATTACTAGAGATTGTAAATTTGTATAAACCTTTTTGTACGAAATCGCTTCAAAACGCCTTCCGCCGCATCACTTTGAATGAAACCCCATAGAATTGTTACGAGCCCAAGTAAAAAACACCAATTTTAAAGTGAGGAACATTGAAACCCTCTTGCAAGAGAGAATAAAGACAGTGAATTGTGAAAAATGAAGTAAATACGTCGCACATATGATTGAGATAGAAGGAAAAATGTAGAAAGCTGTAGAGTCCCTAATTATTTCTTAAGACTCCAACGACTATGTGCTGTGACTGCTCAATATATTCGACTAAAATTTACAAATTTGTAGAGTGTAAATAGAATAACATTTTTTTTTCATTGATAATATTTATTTTCTATTTCTATTTTCACATTCTACTTCTTCTAATATAAGTTTTTATTTATTTGATCTTAGAATAATTAATTTCTCAATAATCTTCCCATGTCTATAACTATAATAATGTATAATTATAGTATATAAGGAATATATAGTATCTAGAAATGCAAGATAACTGACATTTCTGTTTGTGCCACCTTTATAGTCATGAAAAATCAGCCTTGGGTGGTGAAAGGCGCAAACATGCTAGCTGTATTAGTATGGGGCATAGGCCGTAAAACCATCAAAAATGAGACACACTGTATACAAGTGACTGTTGGCTGGGTTAATACTTACACAGCATAATCGGCGGTAAATTAGTCGTGCAAAATAGAAGCATCGGCGCATGCGCTCAAAAAATCGTTGCTTGGAAAAAATCGTGTTTAGGATTTTATTTTAATTTTTTTCTTATAATTCCGTTACGTGTGCGATAAAGGCGTCAATAAAAAAATCAGACGCTGGGAAAAGATCAATTTTGATGCCAAGTTTATATTTACGAGCCAGAAGGGGAAACTACAAAAATGTTATCGCATTATTGATTGATTCTTTTTTTTATCGCAAAACAATGCAAAATAATTTAAACTGATCTGGTCCGATATGGCAGCACGCTCGATCTGAAAAGTTTTGAGTTATTTGTGTTATTTTCCAGTTTCTAATTTAGACGGCTTCCCAGAATAGCTTTTTGGCACCGCGAGGAAAAGTTTTAGTTTACCAAACGCTTTGCCAGAGTGGTTTTTTCGTCTTGTTATGAAATTCATATACGCTAAACACAATTTTATATCTTGACGCGATTCCAAAAATTGCGTTTTCTAGAATAACGCGGCTGTTGATCGATCGCTCGGGATAAAACTCACCGTAGAGGAAAGATTAGACAAGGCAGGATTAAATTTATTAAACTTTTGTTTCGGTACAAGGCTGTATAAATGATGTGCGCGGATAAACATTACGGTTTGACATTAATACACGTTTTAACGTTATAGAGAAAAAAAAACAATAAACCCGGTATAAAATGTATAGCGTCTATATCGGATGTATGAAGTGGCCCCTTTATTATTGTATGAGGACTTGTAAAAAATATCATAAAAACTGTACGACAAAAGTTATTTTGAACTTATAAATTGTTATACCGCTATATACAAAGAGCGTTCGTATGTTCATGGACAAGTAAGAACTTTAAAATTTCTTATTTATTAAGATATTTTTGAATTTTTGTACATAATACGTAATATTTTATTTCAGAAGTGACGATTGCAATAAATTAAATCCGATTGAAAGCATATATATTTGGGATTACTTTTTTTCTTTAGCGGTGTATGTTGATATTTTAAAACACATAAAATACTAAATAAATACAGTCTTATCAAAAAGAAACATTGAAAATGTAAATGACAAATTCGGTCAATATTTTTTTTCAATAGGAACATAATATTTTTATCACACGTTTCCTGTTTCAAAAAAAACGTTTTTCCATTGTAGCAATGCTAAACGACTATTAATTGGCCGAGAAGATACATATTTTATTGCCAATATTTCGAAACCTGTAACTTTCTGTTGGCAATCTTTTCAAAATGCCTTTGAACGATTCTTTCATTCAAATTATTGATGTAAGTTTTTCGACACCCTGTATTTATACTTTTTTTTTAATATCAACACATAATATTTTAGTATTATATGTGTACATATATGCCAAAAAAACTTTAGGTCGGAGAAATCGATGGATTATATTTATACCTGTATACGTCACTTTTGATATAAAACTCAAAATATGTCAAAAATTCAAAAGTGTCTTGTACTTGTCTGTCTACGGAAATACAAACACTTTGGATATATAAGAATATAATACTTTAAAGGTAAGTGAAGCCAAACAACTTTTGTCTCTATTCTTTTTTGCTCTGTTTCACAGGTCCTGAGATAAGGTATCATCCCATAATAAACAGCCCACCACGTATTTGTAAAAATCTTTAAAAAATTAACAATAAAAAAGCATTATCAAAAAAAAAAACGAAAAAAAATTAGTTGCATTTGACGCAGTGCGGCTTGCCGTCGTCCACTTGGAATTTTTGCTCGGACGTAATCGGTTTGCTGCATTTCTGGAAAAAGGAGAAAAATCCAAAAAATAGATTTGGGTTGTCAAAAATTTGATGCCAATGGGTGGATAGAATTTCGTTGTTCGCTTCGCGTCATTTTATTTCCGATATTTTAATGTTAATCACTTGTAGCACATCGCATTAATTGGATTATGGAGACAAAACTACACTTAGAAAAGGCGACCATAGAAAGGTGCGACACCAATTATTCAGTATTAGGTTAAGAAAATTATTCTCGTTAGAAGAGTGTGCATCGAAAACGTATTGGAAAGCATAAGCAGAAAAAAAAACGTAAATTGTACATGAGATATCTTACCATATTTAAGTACATTTCCCGCCTTTTTTTCTAAACGGGAATGTTAGCCAAGGCAATTATAAAAATCGTTTAAAACGCGGCGTAATCCTTGCAGTTTTCTTTCTCCTTCGTATAACCCTTCGCAGTCAGAGGCAAACAATCTTTCGACTGTTATTGCCAGTTATGTTTTCCGATACTTTTTCGATGGGCAGACTTGGGGTTTTTTCTTTTAAAAGGGTCCTACTCGTGGGTACGAACAATTCGCTCACTGTGGCACCATTGTGGCACATCCATAAAATAATATTTCCGAGAAAATCAGTGATTTAGAAAAATAACAACTGAAATATTTAGATAACTGATATCAACTCTCCTATTTGTTACAAAATTTATATTGATACGAGGGTAGCGCCAAAATTTCTCGGCCTGAATATGAAAGAAACAAAGTAGAGTAATAATTTTTTATTATTTTTCAATATAATCCTCCTTCACTTCAATACACTTATTGAATCTCTTTATTGACAACTCAATCCCTTTAAAAAAATATTCTTTTGGTTTGTCTGCAAAATGAGCTAAAACAGCCTCTTTTAACTCAACTTCGTCGTTAAACCGCCATCCACGTAAGTCCTTTTTCAATTATCCAAACAAATAATAGTCGCTGGAGGCCATATCTGGACTATAGGGAGGATGATCTATCTGTTGGAACCCACTCTCTAAAATGGCCGCTTGTGCAACACCAGCGGTATGGACAGGTGCATTATCGAGCAAAAGACGCACGCCTCTGGTCAGTTTTCCTCGACGTTTTATACGTATGCAGTCTCGCAATTTATGTAATAATGTTGCGTAATATTTACCATTGACAGTGGTATTAGTTTCTTTAAAATCTATTAAAAGAATTCCTTCACAATCCCAAAAGATCGTCGTCATCACCTTTCTTGACTGGTAGACTCTGAATTTTCTTGGAGGTGCTTCACCCTTACGACGCGACTCCATTGATTCTTTTTTCGATAGAGGGTCATAATAGAGAACCATAGTTTCATCTCCCGTCACAATAGTTTCCATCACAGGCTTCGGTTCCGACCCACAGAGTTTCAAAAAAGACCGCGCACACTCGACACAGCGTTGTTTTTGAATAGCCGAAAGGTTTTTAGGAACCCATCTTGCACTAAGCTTATGCATACCTAAATGATCATGCAGGATTCGACGGACACTTGTATCAGAAATTTTATTAATTTCTGAGATTTCCTTGACCTTTAAACGTCGATCACTCAATACCTCCTCTTCCACAATCACAAGAATATTTTCCGTTATGACCTCCACTGGTCGACCATTCGAAAACGTTTTGCCCATTCTTTCACTACAGAATACTTTGGCCGTACATACCATCCAGCCTTTCTTTCATAATTTTATGTGCTAACTCTTCTTTTGTCAAAAACTTTATGACTGCTCTATACTCAATTTGCGTTATTTGCGACATTTTTTCGGACATATCTTGTTAAAATGCTGTCAATAAAAAACTATTTGACGCAAGACTTCATTTTTTTTCCCAGCCTACTAAGATATATATTTAAAAGAAGACAAAGTTTTATCGTGATACGGGAGCTGCATCTATATCAGGCCGGGAAATTTTGGCGCTAACCTTGTATGTCTTTTTAATTTTATATTAATTTGTATTATTCAAAACAACAAATATTTACATTAACTAGAAATAGCTATTTTTTGATATGTGCCATTATTGTATTTAACTACATTGCTATCGACATTGCAATAAGAAATTTTGTCGTTCGATTCGAAATTATCTTTTTTTATTTTTTTCGACATTTCAACTGACGATAATAAAAAATAGCTGGAGACCGTTCAAATGATTAAAAAAAATCGTTTGATTTATTGCCGATCAAGCAAGCAAGCAAAAGTTTTCGTGCCCACGAGCATATAATCGTTTAATCGCTTAATCGCATAAATGTTAACTTTGTAATTAAACGATCTGGACGGGTGCCACAACGCTGGATCCGATTTTTTATTTTAAGGGATTTGCGCCAAAAATCCGTCAAAATTGCTACTCGTTGGTGTTGGCGATCGGATAAGAGGACAGCTGTCCCAATTACTTAGTGACGAGGAAGAACAGCTTGCGCTTTATGAATTCATTCTCCTCCGTACCATTCTAACGTGTTTAAAATACAGGAAGTATTGGATTGATTTTTTTATCATTATATTTTAAAAATTCTACCGCGCAGAAATCGTGTAGGGATTTTGAAACTAGCGACTTGTCGCAACCTCGGATGATTTTAAAAAATTTCTTATACCTTGGTCGAAATTGGGAAGCTTGAAATGATTTTTTTTTTTTTGAACAGGTTTAGAGAAAGCTTTTAACTTTTCAGTCATTTTATTTATTTATTTCAATATATTTATTATATTTATTGTATATTATTTATTCATCAAAAATTGAAAAGTAGGCCCTGAAACTTGATTGAGAGGTTTCTTATTTGTCAATTACCATGTGATGACTCATTATTTCTTTGAAAAATAAAATAACAATAACCAGTAGGTACGTAAATCCTTATTGAATGGCTAACAATGAAAAATAACTAATCTACATTAAGCTCCCAAACCCATTTTCAATATTTTGAAGAATGAAGAATCGCGAAACGATTGTTCCTAATTTTATTTCCGGCAACAAACAACGTCTTAGTAACTTTTCTGAACTATGTACTTCTGTGGCAGAATTACAAAATAGAAAAACTATGATGGAAGTTGGAACAAAGCTCAGATTCTCATTACTGCGAAAAGCTTTATTTTTGAATGTTTCCTCATCCGTTCATAAAAATGTCTTAATGGTTGACAATCCACTGACAAAATTCTAGTAATTGTAATTTATAGAAAAACATCGATTTGAAGACATTGAAACATCATATTACCAGTATGCGTGATATCTGCAAGAGTTCTTAATGCTATTTGACAATTTTCCTCAATTTTCTTTAGTGTGTTTCTTCAAGTAGATCAACTAAAAGATCAACTTTCGCCTATTTTTGTATAATTGTTAAAAATATGGATGTGAATGTCGTCTTGGTGGTTGTGATAACCGTAAATAAAATGAATATTTGTGAATTCGCTGCCCGAAAAACGCCCTAAAAACAGAAAAACGAATTTAAAAAATTCGGAGGCAAAGTGGACAAAGAAAAAACAAAATGTCAATCTTAATTAATTAATTAATCACTATTACCTTTCCGTCGTAACAGAACACAAGTTTACTATTTTTTTTTATTAGAAAAAAGTCTAAAAGTCAACTCACAAAGAAGTTGCTGCAATTTTTGCATTTACAGTTTTAGAACCAGATTCAGCATATGAAAATTACTAACACGCTAAAATTTTAAAAATGTCTCCCACCCTCTTTCGGCAATATTAATAAAAAACAATTCTCACGTTCATTCCTTTTAGGGGCTGTGGTTCCATTACGGGGAATTTCTCGACATATGATGGTATAGAAAATTGAGGGTCATTTTGGTATAATGACGTTTTCGCAAATTGCATCGGTGTATTAATGAGGGAATAATGTGGGTAATGATTCCATTTTTACCGGTATTATACAGGGCGTTAATGTGAACCATACTTCAAAGCTAGATATTACTACGATGAACGATTATGTTAATTGATATAATATAAAAACATGAATCAATTGGATGAAAAATGTTTCTAAAAAATCATTTCAAACTTTAAAGTTGAATCGACCATTGTACGAGATGGTGGCATCATATTTGCTGGTAACATAATCGGTATTGGGATTTTATTACGAGATAGGTTCCCTAATGCTTTCGCGTCTTAAAATGCTTCTAAATTCCTACTACTTCAACACGTACACAGTTTCAGTGCAGTTAGGTTTATTAGAGGTACTTCAAAAAACTCGAACGCAAACTTACCGAGCACCTGAAGCACATCTGATGCCATTTGGCGTCCAAAGCGATCACGGCCTTGTCTGCGATGGGTTTGGAGCACCCCTTGCACCTATCGGCATGCTTCTGCAAGTAGCACTTTTGACAAAACGGGGCTCCCTTCACGTCCATGAACTGGGTGCCGATCAGCTTGGCCTTGCAACCGCCGCACACAAAATGGTCCTCGTGCCAGTTGACTCCCATAGCTTGCACGCATTTCTACGACAATGGTTCATCTAGTGGTGTCCGGTTTTCAATTATTATTACAGAAAACATAATATATTTACAAAAAAAAAACACCAAAAATGTAAATAACTCAGATTTCCCTTCATACCGTGAAATGACTGTAACGCTTCAAGTGCGTTAATTAAAACAAATGTTCCAGGTATTGCAATCTATAATTAGTCATCAAAATGTTTGCACTTGCCGGTAGAAAACCGCCAACCACAAATTTTCCCGGAAATGATAAATCGATGTTTATCACCTCTCGTTATTTATAAACATCCGGTTTACCAAAATCGGCAAAAAAATCAATGTATCTTGCTTTTAGTATATATAAATGCCAGAAATTTCGTAATTCCAATTAAATAGAAAATTGCCTCGTTTTTGGACTAAGGGGTCCGGTAAGCACCCTCATAATTGCCAAAAAAAAATATTGAAAATGACTCTTTCTGAATAGTACATGTTGGCATTTACTGATTAGACAGGCGTTTCGGAGTTGGTAAAAAATGCTTAAAGAAGTTTTCGCTATGGAACTAATTTTAATTAAATTAAGAAAATCGATGTTCCAAAAAAAACGTAAGTAAGGATACAGTGGCAAGAATTTGAAAACTAAACAAATACAGACAGTTCACAGATTGAAAGAAAGAGACCATGATAAGCGGTTTGATTTTTGCTGTCTCATCCAAGGAGAATTAAGGATATGTATTTTTTTTATGAGGCAAAATTCTAGTCTAATTGAACTGTTGCGTCACAACATTGCCGCCGCTGGTGGTCCAAATCCAAATCCGATGAGTGTCGAAAGTTATTTTGAGTTTTTACAAACCCACATTTATGACTTTATAGACGACCTACCCTTACAAGAACGACAATGTACTTATTACCAACAAGAACGTAAGGGAATATTTTGAACATATGTTCCGTGGAATTAAGCACAGATATTTCGATCTTTTTTGGCCTGCTAGATCCCCTTGATTACTCCTTCCTACTTGACAAAAAGTTTACCAGATCCGTTTCAAGTTGTTGGCCATTTAGAAAAGTAATTTTAGAAAAATGCCAGGAAATTTCTGTGTGTGTGTATTGCGTGTATTTATCGTGGATAATCGAGGCATTAGTGGAAAGAGTGAAAAGTAAGTTTCTATTTATTTCTAGAATTAATATTAAGTTAGTTACGCAACTTATTGTGTTTTTATTTTTTTTATTTGTAAAATAAATTGATATACGTATTCATTGCGTGTTTAAAACATTAAGAAACCAGAGAGTTATCATTAATAATCACAAAAGATAAACGTTCATACCAAATAAAAACGATATTAAACAAGCACAAAACTTATTTTTTCAATGAAAATGGATATAATTGGATAAACGTTGTTTTTAGTTCCGATCAACTTTTTTTAAAATTATTTTTACTTACTTTAATTTAAAGGTACTTTAACCCTTGAGTAAAATTTATATATTATGACAAAATTCTTATACTAATATAAAAAACCGAGTAAGTTTGTTTTCTGAAATTAATAACAAAAACGTGTCAAATATGGTTTTAACTTACATCCAAAATCGGCTGGTCGCACGCGTGACACGTTTTAGCGAACAATTTAATGTGGCAAGCAGAGCAGTAGGGCTTGCCCTCGTTGGTATGGAAGCGGGCCTCGGTGATGGGTTGCTCGCATCCGCCGCAGGTGAAGTGGTCCGGATGCCAGGACTGACCCAGGGCGGTCAGGATGCCCTGCGCAAGCGCGTGTTAGCCATAAGCGAGCCGGTTAGTGAGTTAGAGCGACAATCGTAAAAAAATTGCGTTTTGACATGGATCTGGTCCAATTCACGTAGTCCTCGAATTGTAAAATCCATCAGAATCAATCATTTTAGACGAATTTTTAGACAATAGTTGTACCTAGTGTTTTAATTGTGTCTTAATTGTCTTAATTGACCAGTCAAATTCCATTAAAATATTTTAAATAATATCTCGCAATTGTAGAATATTATCTATCATTATTTAATAATTATATGTATTTTAAAATAAATTATTATGAATTTCTGATGTCCAATTTAAAGGCATACCCGAATACGATACTCTTATTTTTAAAATTATTTCGGACAACTGACTGGTTAATTGACTAGTTAATTAAAACCAAAAAATTTGGTCGGTCAATCCACAACCCTAGTTGTCCACTATAAATATCGCCATTGTATCGCAGTTTATTCAGAATGAGATGTTTAGATTTTAAATCACTGAAAATCATCGGAAATCCTCAATAGAAATACTTTTAGGCTTTAAGGATAATAATGACTTTGTACAATCTTGATTACTATTATCTTAACCCATTTTATCCTATCTAACCTAATCTAACCTTGTGGCAACCTTAAAAGTTAGATAAGAAAATAGGTTTCTTGAGAAAGTTCAGTTCTGTAAAATTCAAAGAAGAAAGATAAAAGTAATTTACAGATCTTCTGGATTCCTCCTGCGCTGTTGCCTTCTTCAAAACTTGACTTTTAGTTAGGCTTTGAGGAAGGCAACAGGATGATTGGCGAAACGTCACTAAGATCGATTTATCGTCAAGAAAGCATATTCTACAAGACCGATGAGACAATCTTAGACATCTCATTTTATTTTAAGCTGTCTCGCTTTTATTTTGTAGTTTATTATTATTGTTAATTATTGTAGCAGCTGCGACGTGATATGCAAATTATTTTTCATATTATGAATATAAAAGATTTTCGGCAGCTCTAAGCGAAATGTGTTTTATATAATTTTGTTTCTTGATATTTTATTCAGAAACAGACATTGAACTTTTCGGAATAACGTTAAAACGCTGTTATTCTTTTAGGTTTAAATGATAATAGTGACAACTTGATTGTAATATAAAATCGCAAAAGGCCAAGCCGAACCTAACAACACCTTGTTGCAACGTTGCAACCTTGTAGGGCAGATAGCATATAGACTTCTTTTTTTTTGTTTATTGGCATCGTTTATATCCTTATTTTGATTTTGTTTTATTTTTTGAAACTAGATTAATCTTATAATTGTAGTGAGATTGATATTTTTTAATTTAGGAATTTCTTTAAGGGTAATTTTCTATTACAAGTGTTTTAATATGTTTACATGTTCTATCATTTCATAATTTTATTTTTTGATATAAATGATGAGGATCTATTAGTAGTTCGGGAGAAATTGTTTTTTTTGTCAAATTTGGTGTATGCCCATAGTGCGCATTATTCTATTTTTCAAGATATTTGCACACCTTCAGCGTTGCCAATTCAACTCAAAACAGACTTACAACATTGGAAATGCAAATGCAACACCATTATCTGGTTTAGCACAAATTCTGAGAATCTTTTCGTTAAATAATAATAATAAATAATTTTAATTTATTTTTGCAGAAAACCAACACTTTATTAAAGTTTAATATCTTTGTGAGCAAGTGAGCTAGCAATTTTAAAATTTTACAGGTGTTAGCTAAAACATTTGTTGGGACTTGTAACTATACTGGACTAACTGGACTATAAACATATACCAAATGTAAAAAAAAGATTTAGTACTCCAGAACTTATTATAGGCCACTCAACGTAAATCACCCTTTACAGAATTAAGCGATGAAAAAGTCTTCTTTCTCTCAAAGACAGCCACCAATGGTTCTGAATATGCTGAATCCGTTTTACGTGATATTCTAAAAGGTATGAACCTCATGCAACATCACAAAACGTGTAATGAATTAAGACGGTTTTATATAAGTTAAGATCAGTAAATGCCTTCTAGTCTCTCGTTGTCCATTACCAGATCCAAATTCCTAGCGTTATGTGAAATATCCAGTTTTTTTGTGCCTATACTAATGTTTGATTGGGTTTTTAAAACTGTTTCTCACCAAGCAACAGCAAGTTTCATCTTTTGATATATTTAGCACCCGGTTAAAGCTTAGTTTAGCAGTCACATAACAAAACGCATTGTTTCTGAAAATTTTTAGGAAAATTCTCAAACTCTCAAACTTAAAACGCAAACAATTAGGCGGTATTGTTAGGAAATGATTATAATTGAAAAAAAAAACGTGAAAAACTCCTAAACACCAATATTTTACATAGATAGAAGGTCATACTTACTCCGGTAATGGTTTCCTTGCATTGGGCGCAGGTTTTTGGCTCGTTGGACGCTGGGGTACTCTGAAATACAATTTCTCAATTAACGTACAATGCAGGGATTATAACTCGCTCGAAATGTAAATAAAAAATTCGATGAAAACACTTGTATTTCCAAGCGCAACATAAACTATTAGGCGCTAATGTAATTTGGCAGTCCAATTATCAGAGATAAACGTTTCAAGTGCCTCCGTTCGGGAGTATAAAGGTTTCAACGCAAAGATGACGAATGAATGCTTCTCAACAATGTCAGAATGATTCATTTGTTTTTCGCGATACACAATAAAATTCGCCAAACTGTTAAACGACGGGAAGTCCATTTCAACTCCCGGTGAGAGTTAAAATTAAATTTAAAATCGGCTTATCTTTGTAGAAGTCTGAGATATTGGTAGATAAAATTAATGTTATATTTAATTAGTCACTTGTTCTGCAATAGCGCATCAATTGCAAATCATATGGCAAATGGGGCACCATCAGAAAGACTCAAATTTGGTCTAAACCTATATGGAAAATTACTTTCCAAAAAATGAGATATTTAATGCATGTTTAGCCAGTTCCTACGTCAATAAGGCTATTGAGATTTATCGTTTGGTGGTTTCTATACGATTATACAAATTTAGATTTCCTAATACCGTTCATATCTGAAGTACTAGCAATCGAATTCCATCGAGTGATATTTTTTATGTCGATTTTATCAACATTTTTGAGCACCAGAGCACAGCTACCTATAATTTTCGTCGTAAAAATATTGATTAAATGGGTATAAAGAACCGAGAAAGGTTCGACAACGGCAACTGTCAACTTTAAAAACGTAAAATATCGGACACTGTCAAAGGAAAAAAAAATCTCCCTCAAATTTGCGGTCGATTTTTGTTTTTAAATCTATCTTTAAATTTCTTTTTATACAGGGAGTGTTACTCCTGAAAAAGTCTTGTAACTATAGTGAGTTTATTTTATTTATTTTTTTTATTTTAAAATAAATTGGTGTTGCAAATTTGTTAAGACGTCTAATATATATACCAGAAGAGTTTTTCAAATATATTTATTAAGTATTCTTTAAGAGAAACAGAGACAAAAAACATAACAGACTCTCTACTGTCTGAAATATAGAAACGAGAAAGTTGCGCAGCCCATACTATTTCATTATCTTCATTCAATTAAGTATTTTTAACGAAAAAACACTACCACTAAAATAATTTAGCCGTTATTCCCGACTCACGCAGTCTGAACCGTCGCTATCCGCATCTTCCTCTTCCGATTCGACCCGATATTGACTTATCTCTTCGTACATCCTGGTGATCTCGTCTTCCGACCTTTGGGAATCTGGAGAGTCGACTCTGATATCAGAGTACGTCGCTCTGTACGTCCTCCCGCTTCCCTCATTTAAATCGTACGCCTTTCTGTTCTTCTCGTAATCATTATCCAAAGTCACTTCTTCGGCTATAGTGATCCCCGTGCCTCTCAATTTTCTCACGCCCGACAGTATCTCTCGCTTTTTGATATACGAAACTAAACTGACGACGATCTTCTTTTTGTCCGCCGGTCCCACGGCATAGACGTCGTTAACGTCGTCTACGGTGAGCCCCAGATCCATGTACCTGTTAACTATTTTGACGACGAATCCGACCAGGTCGTAGTCGGGGGGCTCCACGCCGAACACAATGATGTTGTTGCGTTTCAGTTCCTTCTCGAGCCTGTCGCATCTCTTCTTCATTTCCGTGTACTTGCTCTCCCATTCTAGGGTTTTCTTTATCAGCGCCTCGTCCACGGACTCCTTTAGGTTTTTTATGTCTTTGTCCATTTGCTTGAGGACATCTTCGTACAGTTTGCGGTCCATTTTCTCGATCAGCGCCATCGATTTGGCAGTTCGATAATGGCCGCTACTGATGGGAGTTAATCAAAAACCGAAAGGGTAACAACGTAGAGCAAGGATTAAGACGTATCTTGTTATGTCGGACTGTAATGATTGAGTGGGTCGTTGTTATCTATAAAATTTTTGATTCGCACAATTTTCTATGTATTATTATATTTTATTGACGGATCGTGATTTAGGTTATAGTTCCGACGGTCGACCAAAGTTCCAACAGATCACTATGCAGGGTTATACAATACTTTTCAATAAGTCGGAAAAATATGGGAACTTTTTTTTAATATTAATGAATTATTAACGAATATTTGATAGTAACAAATGTTAAATTTTACTGGAAGTGTTAGGAATACGTTTGATGTAAAACGCCAACGATTGGTTTCTTGAAGTTGTAGCCAACAATGTCATTACGCAAAAGGAAATAGCTGTTGCAAAAAAACGTAAGTAAAATACAGTGGAAAGAATTCAAACCATAAGTAGTTCACACCTTTAAACGGAGACTCATCCAAGGAGTATCAGAAGTAAAGTGTTTTTTTTTTGGCCAAACCATAAATGACGACAATTATTTACCGTTTCTACAATCTCACAATTGTGATATCATAGACGCACTACCCTTTCAAGAACGACAATGTATTTTTTACCAACAAGACAGTACCTCGAGTCACGGTACATTGGTTCATTAAATGTATGTTCGATGGAAACGTTATCCACAGATATACTGATCTTTTTTGGCCTGCTAGGTCCCCTTCATTACTTCTTATGGAGCTAGTTGAAACAAAAAATTTACCAAGAAGGGTCGTCTTAAAATGTTGAGCATTGATATGTAATGACTGTATTTTATATTTTAGACCATGCAGAACTTTTTTCGAAGAATAGGTTTTTTTTTCTAAAATTAACAATAGAAAAGTTTCCCATATGTTTAGAGCTTACTAGAAGACATATTGTATATTAAGTATCTACTGAAACAATTCAAAATTTCCACTGACGTAACGAACAATTCCTAATATTTTTCAGGTACCTGCATAGTGTAATTTTTCAAAATTTTCGCCAAATACCCCAATATTCTACAAGCAGTACCTACGAATGCTCTCAGAGATCTCGCTGACGGAGTGGAAGGAAGCTATTCACCTCCATTGCAAACAGCAGACAGCAATGAATGGACCTTTTAAAAGATTTATACCTCTTTGGTATTTAAAAAAATCTAGGATGTCAGTTTTGTCTCGTCGTGCTATAGGGGTATTTTTTAAATGTTGAAATTTAGATCGTTATTGTTGCGGTGTTGTTTAGCCTCTATGTAGATTCGCCCAAAAGAAAAGTGCTCCCATGAGATTTTTACCATTGGCATATTATCACTAATGGTTATCGAGTTTATGCTCTGAGATTTCCGAACTATATGGACACTTTTTAAGAGACCATAACAACCAGTTTGAGGAAAGTGAATGTCGATCTAAACTAGATTTTGTGAGGTAAATTTTATTTTGTGGGAGGCGGGTTATACCCGGTAAGTATTGTTTTCTTTATTATATGCATTAACAGAACTAGCAGATAAGCATAATAAGAAAATTTTGCTTGGTCTGATATTGTTTTGCAGTTAAATAATAACTCATTGAGTTTTTGTGCGAATTATTTAGGAATAAAAATAAATCAGCATTTTGGACTTTTCATTTCGATTTGAATGCTACGAAAAATAAAAAAAATAACGAAATTGTGGGCCTTTCGAAAAAATACAAATAATATTGGTTAAATGGAGATAGACGGGTATATTAAACTTTTTTTGAAATAAAACTCCGAAAAAGACACATACCGCCACTTTCGGACAAATACATTTATCAAAATATAAGAAAAGAATTAAATATTTTGCATTCTATTTCTAATTTGTATGCCCTTCATTTGAAGTTAGATTAGATACATTTTATTTTTTCCAGATATTTAAAGAGAATATAGAATTATTAAACAAGGAAGAACGCTTCCGTTTATACGAACGAGCAAGAGAATGACGACGATTCCCGTTACTAGCCGTCCTTTTCTACTGTAAAATTTGCCTCACTTTTGGCGATCCCAGTTCAGATCGAGTTCACCGTTCTTATTGTTAGGTCAAATTTTGGGTCATTTTGTTATTTTGGCGTTTCGGAAATTCCGTCTTTACCGCCATTACCGAAGCAAGCGCGAGTTGTTTTTTTTAATCACTTTTTACCGACAGACGACAAACTTTCGATGATGTCACGCGCGAAATATTCGGCCGCGGATATCGCGAAACGGTACTCCGTTGCACTTGTCGCTTGCCACCGCCTTCGCCACTGAATTTGTCAACTTTAACACAGACACACACGCGACGAAACTGGTTTGGGTATGCACGTTTCTTGTCCGCGCGACGGTCGTACCGCTCCCAAATAACCTCACTTTTCTATCGATAAGTCCGTTCCCCCGCGATATTTTATCTGCGCGAGCGATTTCGACCTTATCTCGAGCATTTTTTTTGAATAGGCGACAATGGCGGGTTTGTGTTGTATGACGGACGCCCGGATCTACAGTTTATCTAAACAAAGACGCGCGAAAGAATAGCATCAACCAAATATCATTTCGTTCGTGACTGGTTCAGCGATGAAACGTTCGATTTCGGTGGCCGTGGAACGGCGACTTCAAATTCGGTGTAAATGACTTCCTGGGACCTCAAACCCGCACATTGCGCTGCTGCGTTAAGCAAATGCTGCATACGAGGATGAACCGAGAAGTACCGGGCCTGATATAAATATCGTTCCTCCACTAAACTGGAAGATTTTCTCAAATACAGCAAAAAACCATAAAATAGTGCTGGAAGGCCGCAGATTAAAATTGTCTGAGACAGAGGAGACTGTAAAAATATTAAAAGAGCGCATTAGAAATATTTGAAACAATATTTGCTGCGCTTGCTAATTTCCGAGAAAATACTGAAAAGAAAAACTGTTTCAAGTGCGAATTTGCTGCTCTATAAGCGAGATGAAGTTTTGTGTTGATTTATAGCTATGAATCCACTACTACCCACCTGAAAAAAAAAACAATGAAAACGGTGGACAGCAATCGGTGAAACAAGGTTTTGCTTCCTACTTCCAAAATTGACCTGATGGACCGATATTTGAGAACAGCGAGTAAGTTGTTCTAATTTTCAGGACCGAAACTTATCAGCGCACCCTCGTATAATCAATTATACTTTTCAATCTTAAGAATTGTAAAGAACCGCTGGTATAATTTTCCACCATCATTAAACCAAGGTTTATTATTGAAATGTCAATGTACGTATAACGTACGCCAAATATTCGCAATTTTTGCATTTATACAGGATGTTCGAAAAACAGACCGAGATGTTTTAGATGGTGATTCCATTACTTTGTACAAAACTTCTGGATTCCTCCTGCGTCGGTTTTTGCCGAGACGAACTTGCTGACGTTTCGCCAATCATCACGTTGGCTTCTTCAGAGCTTGACACTGAAAACTGGCCCGTATTTTAATCTGTACTCTGTTGTACAGATTTCTGTAGACTCCCGGATTTTTCGTTGGTAGAAGAATTGATTACATGCAAGAATTTTAGTTTTATCGAATAAAATTTTATGTCCGGTTCCGTGATTGTGTTCTTGTAGTTCTGGGTTCAGTGACTCGGACTGAGATCGTTTTACGGCTCTGTATACTACTGATACTATTGATAACCGATGATTTTTGGATCGAATTGTGATGTGACCATCGGTCTGTGTGAGTAGGTTTTCTGTAAACACGATGACCCAATGTTAGGTCTGATTTTCTATTGAAAAGAATATCTAAGAATGGAAGGTTATTATTATTTTTCAACTTAATGGTAAAACGTATGTTAGGATGTATAGAGTTTAAATGTCTAAGAAAATCTACTAGGGTTTCTTGACCACGAGGCCAAATAACAAAGGTATCATCGACATAGCGTTTCCATAATTTTGGTTTTAGATGAAAGGTGTCGAGAGCTTTCTTTTCAAAGGCCTTCCATAAATATACGATGACTGGTGATAGTGGAGAACCCATAGCTGTTCCCGAAGTTTGTTCAAAAATTTGACAGTTATAAGAAAAATATGTTCCAGACAAGCATTTTTCGATTAAGCTGAGAAGGTTTGGTTCTAGATTCTCGGATTTTAATATTTCTGAAATGATGTTGACAGTTTCAGGAATAAGAACTTTGGTAAACAGGGATTCTACATCGAAAATAACTAGAGTATCTTGTGTAATGCTTTTTAATTGTTCAATGAAATGAAAGGCATTAGGTGCGAAGCTATCAGTTTTCCCTGTAAAGGGTTTTAATAAAGAAGCTAGATATTTTGCTAGAGAATATGTTGGGGAACCAATGGTGCTGAAGGGGTACTCTTGGTTTATGAATCTTTGAGAGTCCGTAGAGACGAGGAATTTTAGAGTCGTGGGGGGTGACAGATTTTTTCACAGATTCTCATAGACGACGTAAAATCTTTTTTAAGTTGACGATATTATCCATCTGTAAGAATATCTTGAATCTTTTCCTGATATTCATTTGCGCTCATGACCACCTTAGCATTTCCTTTATCTGCTTTTAGATTTTAGGGCAATGCGTTCAGGCTTTGCAATATTAGGTTTAGGAGATTTTGGTTTTTTTAAGGAGTCTATGGAAATCTATAAACAACCTACCAATCTTAACCGCGATTCAGGTCTTTATCTGTCATCAATATGGGAATCAGTCATCCGAGATGGTGTTTATGCCCTTCATGTAGCTCGGCCCCTCTCAAACAATATATAAGCAGGTACAGAGTAAAATACGACCCGGTTTCAGTCAAGCTGTGAAGAAGCCAATGATGGCGAAAAGTCAGCAAGTTCGACTCAGCAAAAACAGACGCAGGAGGAATCCATAAGTTTTGCAAAAAGTATTCAGAAGCCTGTGGAAGATTATACGTCCTGAGTTGTCCAAATGTTTTCTTAAAAAACATGTTAAAAATGATTATTATACAGTCAATTGCTACTTGTTGTCAATCGATCGTTAGTACTTATTTCTATAACATCAAAATTCACTGTGTATTATTTTACCCTATAAACTTCAGATTCCTTGTCAACAAAATGCGGTTCAGAAAATTTAGCAACATCGTTACTGGTCGACAATTCAATAATTTTTAATAAAGGCGTTATTCAAATGAATTCTGACAGATGTACTAAAACGAAGAGGAGCTTCATTGTTCATAAAAGTAATTTGATTAGAATACGATTTTTTTTTCAACTTAACAGCCTGCGACTTGAAAACTCGGCATTTCCGCACCCATGTATATAAAAACTTTTTTTTTTCATATTTTTAACAAGCAATTACACTTCAAAATATCTCCGTCTTTGTTTCGGACACCCTGTATAAAAATAACCAATTACGAAGCACAATTAATTAACGAATTAAGTCAACGTTTATATTCTTAAACGTAAAAGTACGTAAAAACATTTACTGCTACTGTTCCTAACTGTTTATAATTTTAAATGGGGTTCAAATTAAAATAATAAAACTGTTATTCGCATAAATGTTTGGAAACGCGCGTTAAATGTCAAAAATATTGTTAACCTCACGGATTTACATACCATAATAAGTAAATCACTGCCGCGGCAACTTTTCAAAAAAATATTCGCGACTGACTTTTCCGAGGGGATGACAGTTTATGACACTGAACAACCAGCCCGTCTTCTGCGTTACGTCATCGCCAGAATGATAAACTCGCGTGGCGCGGAAAGCGGAAAAACCGCAGCCTCGTTTGGTGAAAACGATCGATCGGTCTATTTTTGTCCGCCGCGAACTCGTCATGATAATTTCGCGTGTGGCTGGTACGAGATAAGGTACCGAGTTTGCTGGGCCCATCGCGTTCTGCGGCATAAATTTTGCCTTTTTCGGGGGGTACGAGTAAACGTGCCTTCCGGCAGAAATCAGTTGGAGGCAGCCCCCTCCTTGTCGTTCAATCTTTAGTGGGTACATTTTTTGCAAATTCGTATTTTTGCGTGATAATAATAAAGAAAATAGTATTTAATAATCATTAAATTATATGCATATTGTATCAGTAGACAATATTTTTAAATACGAGGTCTGTAAATTAAGTCATGAAATGGAACGTAACCTATCTGGCAACACTGGATTCAGTGAACTGGGTGGGGAGGAGGGTTCAACTCGCACCAGTCATTTGTTTTTCCGTGGCGATTTTTTTTTTAGGAAAAATTTTTTTCTATTAAGTTCTGAAAATGAGTGACCTCAATTTCGAGCACAACGCTGAGCTTGGAGGTTTAAGGCATGTTCAGAAGGAAGAACCACGAAGCCTTGATCTTCAAGAACTGATGAAAATGTTGACATAAATGTTGTGCGTTCAGATCATCGGTTAATGGCCGTGTGTGTAACAATCGAATTTGATTCACAACTGAAAGTCAAATCAATCGACACTTTTAGAGGGAATTTTTTGAAGGATCCAGCGTGTGAAACAAAACATCAAGAACAATCGGATGTTAGACCACGACAATGCTTCTTATCGCACAGCAATAAACGATTTTTGGGCCATAAAAAACATTTGTATTGCTTATTCGCCCGACCTTACGAATTTTTTGTCTTCCCGAAGTTAAAAAATCATTTCAAAGGACGTGATTTTTGGAACAGTCGGCTGTAAACGAAAAGCTGAGAGCTGTTCCAGAATCGGAGGTTCAGTGCTCCTATGAAGAATGAAAGAACCATCTCCATAACTTCATATATAACTTCAGAAGGAAATTATTTCAAGGGTGACGATATAGTCAATATACAATTGGAATTACTCCATTGTTATGTTACTTTGTATACGCTTTAAGTAAGTTAAGTAATAGTTTAATAGTTTAATTGCAGAGTATTCAGTATTTTTGTTTAGAAAAACGTAATAGAAGTTTAAGACAAAAAAAAGAAACAATAACTACAACTATTGTCGAGATGTATGGACGGAACTCAAAAGATATAATCCAATCCAATCAAAAACAACCAGTTTAAAAAAAAAGGTTAGTTTCATCAAGTGAGTCAGTGGTGTCAGATTTTTATACTTACGTCCCCTTTTTGTTATACGGAATGTGAGTGTAAGGCGAACGCAGAATGTTCATTTTTTGGAAAATATAGGAAGACGTTTAAAGTATTTCGCCATTTTTTGATGCCGTTGCGTTTCCGCCGAAAATAAGTCCATCAAGGAATAAAAATGAAACACTTATATGGTTTGCTATTCTGGCGATTTTATGGATTTTTTAGCCTATATTGCAGAATATATACTTTAAATGAAATTTTTCTCCAGATTTGGTTGGCAAATATTGCATATTGTAGATGTGTTAGCAATTTATTATTTCTGGCAATTCTATAGCAGTCGCTGCGTGAGGAAATACGACGAAGGAATGGTGAAATTAAAGAAAGATTAATAAAAGTGACCTCAAAAGGGTCCTAGTTTTATTAGAGTCCTAACAAAACACACAGTAACAAATGTTTCAAATTTTCAGGGAGCTGCGAACAAGGAAGCACTTCTCATTAAATTATTGCAATGGTCGTTGAGACGTCAGAGCAATGGCCGTGACTGCGGCGATCCAGATGCTTTAAATATATTAAGAACAGAAGAGGGCGGTCAGATATTAAGGGAACTACTCGTCGCCTCTGCCGATAACGAACAGACTGGGAATAACCAACGCCTAACTTTGGAAATTGTCGGCAACTCCAAGACTATCGAAAACCATCAAAGCGAAAACGGAAAATCGAAAAGAAAAGAGTAAGTTACACGAATTTGCGTTTGTTGAAATTGGACGCTATTTTTGGTTTGGTTAATTCCCGTTCTATTTATCATGCGTCGCGTTTGAAAAATAACCGGCCGCCCGAAAATAAGCAACCGATTAATTTAGAATGGGGAAAATAATCGCCGGAATGGATATCAAACTTTAAAAATAGACGCGAGGTACAACAATCTCCTAGTTCACTATTTTTACTCGGAAAGTGCAGCAATCCCTATAACCTCACCCCACTGATCTAAATACCAGGATGGGAGGATGGTTTATATAAAGTATCACTGTCGGCCCGATTCACCTGAGAATATTAACAAAGTCGCGAATTTCAGTACTTTTTGTTACGCGGGTTTAAGTATTTAAAATCGAAAGCATTTGTTTTGTCAGATTCCATGATAAAAGTAGATGAGATTTCGATCGATTAGGGTCATCCGACACTATAGGAGCATCATTTTAAGTTTCTTATTTGCTCTCTTAAATTTTTATGTAACTTTTGAAGAGCGAGTTAAAAATGTCCAATAGCCCATATTTATGAATTCAGAATGGAAAGATTGGTCCAGAGAAATGAAACATGGAGTGGTTCATATCTTTGACATTTGATAGGTGTTATCGGTCTAAGTTGATTCAACTTCCTGTCGAAAATTACATAGAAAACATCGTTTCCAAATTCAAATTCCAAATTCCAAAATAGGAAATAAGAAAGTCTGAAACCTTATATTTTTGAATGCATAATTTAAAGATATCTTCAGAAAGATGAAAATATACACATTTGACAGGGGTCATCTTTCTGATTCTGCTTCCTCTTCAAAAGCTAGATATAAAACATATCTTCAAATTAAAAAATTCTATATCCATTGACACAATTAAAATGTCCCTGCGTTTTTTATGGTTTAGGTTTTAATAAAGCTAGTGGATTGCGGCTCAAGGCTTGAGTCACGAAGGCATTTTTATAAAAGTATTTTTATGAAATCTCAGGTGGTCCAAACAGAAATGTCATAACTAAAACCCATAAATTTTGACATACGAATTAAACTTAAGTATTTAGTTTCCAAACAGTCATACCATTTAATTATTATTTTAATTTCTGCCATCTCTTCCTACTGTCATGGCTCATGTTAAACCCAAATATAACGATTATGAGAAATTCGATAAAATAGGGTCAATATAATTGGGTGTATTATCAATGTACATTTAATATTGCATACCCACACAAGTCTATTGTGACAGGAAACTTACTTTTTGCAATAAATTATGTAATGTATGTAAAAAAAACTGTATTTTCCATGGCCAACGCAATAAAATTAATTAAAAATTAAATGATTTGTATTTAAAATAACTCTTATGTATTATATTTTTGGAAAGCTAACAAAAATCCTACTAAAAATATTAAATCCTTTCATATTATTAAAAATAGCAACTATAAAAATATTTAAATACTTTCATACAACTTCGACGCCGTGTTGCAACATTGTTAACTAATTGGGAAAACTTAAAAAGTATTTAAACAAAAAACCTGTATTATTATGTTCTATAATTTCCGAGCTGAGTCCGTTATATACAGTGAGTCGGTTTTTTGTTGCAGAAGTTCGACAGTTTGAAGAATTAAAAACATGCCTCCTTGGGAGATTTTTAAGTTTTTTGTTGTATTTTTTAAATTTTTTTCCGGCAATTCTTAAAATCATGAATTGATCATTTATTATACCTATATTACACTTCAAAAACTCAATATACACTTTTTGCCTCTGCTTTCCAGTAAACAGTTATTTATATTCTCTGTTTGATTTGAAAACGTTTTAACCTTTTGACTAATATTGGATTTTAGTAAAAGATAATTGAGGATAAAATAATAAAGTTGGCTCTCTTCCAAGATGCAAAATATGTAGCGAATCGAATTGCGGTTAAGGACTGGAACAAAGTAAAAAGACGATATTATAGAGTCTCAAATCACTTTTTCTGACAATCTGACATTTATTGGAGATATTGTAAATTTAACCGATTATATATGCCTAGATTTACTATAGGGAATGCCTTCGACTCAGCTCTAACAAATCTTATAGAGAAAGACAACAAAAATAATTATCTTTCTAACAAAGCAAACTTGACTTATTCTTCCTATAATTTTTCGTATACTCACTCGATAAAACCACAAATACATACAAATTTAAAAAACAATGATAACGCTTTCAATTTGACATGCTGAAAATTGGTGTTAGCGGTAATACGACTTGAGAAAAATATGGTTAGTGGAAATCGTGAGACGGTGAAAGGTCCTGCATACTGTATATGTAGAACTTTGCACTTGTATGTGTGTCCTGAAAAAAGATGAGTTTGTTTAATGAGATCGCGATGTGTAGGCAAAGAGAAGACGAAGCAGGCTGCCACAAAAATTCTGCCTGTCTGATTTGTGTGTATGAAATTCAAATTTTTGTCTGATGAAGGAAAAAAAGATACACCGAACACGTCCAAAAAATACATACACTTGGTCGCTGATTTCGCTTGTTGGCAAAGAGCTGCAACAGAATTACAGTTTTTCTAAAAATTTGGGAAAACATTAGGGCCGAATGGTGACAGTTGTTAAAAAGAATCGTAACAAGGCTATAGGAAATTTTGTTTCACGGTGCATATGAAATGCGAGGGACTTTATTGAATCCCCTGAGCATTCGTCATATCGTCCAAATTCAATATAGAGTCGTTTTCCGTCTTATTCACAAAATACTTTTTAGCTTTTTCACCCGTCACACGTTTTTTTACAAATTTGTTGATAGGACATAATCGAGTAGTTTTCACGAGTTTCAGTCGGAATTCACATTCTTATCTCCTTATCGATACTTTTAAAGTTGTGCATAAATCGTCTTCCATCACCATTTTCAATGGACCATTACTATATACCTACAAATTTGTTGGGTTCATATTTTGTTGTTTTTGTTCCTTGTTGCCATTTGTTCAAGAAGTGAAGCTCGACAACTCCAATGAAAATCTGCTGCAGCTCCACAGCATATCATTTCGTAGTTATAATCAGCATTTACAAGAGACTCCGTATTTTTTAGTTTAGTATACAAAGTTTGGTGACCACTTTTTCAGTGGAATTGTATGGGTAACTGTGATTTTAAAGACACCGGGGTCAACTAAATGAGAAAAAAGTGATTTATATCGAAAATTACATTACCAGAGACTAATAATAGAAACCACTAATAGAAAGCAGATAAGTGTTACTGCTCTAAGGGACTTTAACCAGAGACTAATAAATATTTTAGAAAACCAGAAAAGTTTTATGGCTCTGAATAAGTTTCTTCGGAATTGCCTCTTTTTGTCCACATGTCGCGTTGTTAGACGAAAAGGAGGAAAGAAAGGAAAGGAAACCTTATAAAAATTTACGGAAAAATAAAAAGCAAAAAACAAGTGTGTCCCATTTCGACTAAGTATTTCCCTTAATAAACATAGCGCATTTCGTGACTTAAGCCTGCTTTTTTTATGAAATTTATCGAAAAACGAACTCAAAACAAATTTTGATATACAACTAGCCAAAACTAAACATAACTAAAGGTATTTTAAATACAATGCATATTTATATCTTTAATTTTAAATTAAATTGACATTTTCTATTAATGAAAAAATAAAATGAAAGATATATGCTTTGTATTTGAAATAGGTGTTATATATATTTTTGAAATGCTAATAACAAGCCTAAAATGGGACACACTGTACTTGTAAAATGTCGTTCGCGTCTTACCATTTTCAATTACGGATAAAAGTTTCTGGTATATATACCCCCGAAAAAGGCGCGAAACGGTATGCACTTTCGAGATTTTACAGGCGCCGATTTATCGGAGAGTCACGATACGACTGAACGCGCGGTATATGTCCGACGAAAATTCGGTGGCCACCGACTTGAGCAGGAAAAAAACCGGGAAATGGATAATTTTGACTACGCGAGCGAGAGACAAAGATCGCGGAATCTAATACTTCTTTTCACCTCGCCCAAAATCGTTGTTGTCAAACTCCTTATAACCATTTTAATTCATTAAATGATTCGAATTTCCTCCCACTCCCCTTGCTCAAAAATAGGGAGACGTGCAGGGTGTTTTTATGGCAACTTTTTGAGCACGTGTAGTTTCTGAGCTACGCTATTGGAAAAAATTGACAATTTTTTAAGCAATTGGTCGTTGCAACTTTTTATTAGAAATGGCGCATTTTTGTCATTTTAAGAAATATCACAATTTACGAAATATTTTATAATTTTATTTGAATAAGTTTCCTGTTGGAGGAAGACCTATTTAAAAAATTATAGAAGCAATTTTTATCATGAAGAATAGTAATAGGAAGCTCCTAGAAAGGATACGACTATAAAAATTAAATTAAAATTAAAAATTATAACTTTGTGATAAACAATCATTTCGATTATTTTGAATTTTCACAGTATTCACTCTCATTTATGGCTCTTGCCCGCATTTAATAAAACTTTAAATTGAAAATAAAAACTATAACAAATAACATTATTAGAAAAGAAAAACATATTAACAATTTAATTGTTCAGATCCAAACGCGTCGATGTTGCTTGTATTATCTTATAGTTAAGGTGAACCGATGCGTTTTATTTAGTGCAGTTAGCATTTGTTTAATGATGCCCTAATAGAGCTTTGAGCAAACATAACAGATACTGTAGATTTTTAGTTCCTCTCCCTTTTTCTTATTTAAACACGCACCATTATCTTTAAGTATGGATAAGATTTTAGAAAAAATGTAACATTATTCTTTTGCAATAGAAAACAAGGTATTTATTTACGCTTTTGTTTATTGATGCATTATTAACTAACCAGCCTACTGACATTTGCTTATTACGTACAGGATTAAGGACAATGTTTATAAATTACTACATTTCGAATACTAAAAACAAATTTATTGTTCTATGCAGAGTTTACATTCGAAAAAAGGGTTTAATATTTTGCAACATTCACAGGTAAACAAAGTAGCCATTTATAGGATATTGTTT